GCTGGATACAGGGGATTTTTGTGATGGACACTGGGTTAAAAGTGCACTCAGAAAAGTGGAACTGCCGTGAGCATATCCGGGAGCCATGTGGTTTAAATATAAAAGAACGTAAACGCAGAGTGTAGATACTAAAAAGGTCAGTTGCACAGTCTGAATATAAGTAACAAGTAATTCTAGTGTAAAAATAATTATGGGCCAAGGAAATGATAAATAATTGCTTGTACATTTACTTAAAGATGTTTTAAAAGTCAGAGGTGCCAAGGTAGGACATCAACAACAGTGTAAATTTTAGAATTTGTACATTTACTTACAGATGTTTTAAAGGTTAGGAGTACTAAGGAAAGGAAATAGTGATTACTTCAGTGTTTTAAATGTGTAAAGGATGTGTGGCCCTGGTTCCCTGCAGAAGAGAGTATGAGTCTGGAGATTTTATAAGGTGTAAGAGAATGAGAGCTCCTTTTCATGGTCTGTGTTTTGACTGTTACTATATTGTTCTGTTTTATGTGCTCCCATCTCTGAAAAGCTTAAGTGGTACCAGTACCTGGTTGTCTGTCACTACTGTCTATTTTTGTCTAGCAACCTTTTTTGTTATCCTAGAGGAGATTAGGCAAGCAGTCTCTGGCTCTATCCCTCTGTGCATTTTTATTGGATCAGTTCCAGAACTTTGGATCCCAAAAGAAAAACTTTTCAAAAGGAGAGGCATGGCAAGGGCCACCTCCCTCCATTGTTCTCTGGCCCACAGCCAGCCAGCAGCTCCTGCAGAGGGCGGGGTGTACACAGTCAGACACAGGAGACTGTGGGGAGACACGCTCCTGTGAATGAGGCAGTGGGGAATTGACTGCCCGCAGCTGGACGGCTACACGAATGCGAAACAGAGAATCTGGGACCGTGGTTGTGGAAGTTGACATTTTTCTTTCTCCGAAACACTGGCAGCCAAGGACACACTCTTGGCTCACCAGCGCTGCTCCCCCCTCCTTTCCTTCCTAAGTTAAGTTCTTCTTCACTGTCTTAACACTCAAGGTCTCTTCTGCTGGCCAGCAGCTTCCCATCTTAACCCTTTTCTGTTCTGATACTGTTTGAAATAAAAATGCTTAGTTATACCAACCTGTATACTTTTGGAAGCTTTGATTTTAACACAAAAGTCAAAGATATATTATATTTGAGAAAACTTTTGGGAAAAATTATGCTTTCACGTCCACAGAAAAAGAAAAACATGGATTTTAGTCATTTATATCGAATTTGTTACAAATACTTGTCATCTTCTAAGAAAATTGGGTACACATTATTATTGATTAAGATAAAGAAAGCTGCTGCTAGTTTCAAAGGTTTCACATTGTTACAGGTTCTTATATATTAATGCAAATTTAAGTTATTCCTATTATATATAGACATATATGCAGAAATATTATTTGTACATATATATTTCTGATTTTGCTTAAAATGTTATATATAACTAAGCAATAATTTAGACGGCTAGAAGAAATAACAGAATAAAGTTTAAGTGGAAATTTGTGTGTTGTCTGGGAAGTAAGAGGAAAGATGAAGAAAAAGGGCAAAAGACTGGAATAATATTAGGGAAAAAAGGAAAATTATCTATGTCTGGCTAAATCAGAGGCACAAAGATAGAGAGTGCAGGAGCTGAGGATACACAGAAAGCTGTAGAATGCCAGAGGGGTTGTGAATAATACTGAGTTTAAAGGTAAACTCTAAAATATATATGAGATTTGCCCATGTTGTGTAAAGGTTGATTTTCTTCATTAAAAAGGCTGGTGATTCTTCATTTCAGAATATTTATGTTAAAAATAGGATCATGTTCTTTAAAGGTGAAAGGAGGACTGACGTCCCAAAGACAAGTTAATAATTAATCATCATTTTGCAACCCTCTGAGTTACAGGGTTCTATCTGATTGGCCTCCTATGAAATGACAAGGCTAAAGCTCTTGGCTATTCAGACTTTCATAGAGAAGTCCAAACATTTTTCATGAAAACTGTCAACATCACATCTGCAGTCTGTAAATGAAAATTGCATCTAACTGCTCCTACAATGGTTAAAAACAGGACAAAATGCTTATATTATGAGTCTATATAAATTCTGAGGGTCCAAAAAGTACAAAGGCCTGAATGAGGACATTAATAGAGTGTAAGGATCTGAAGGCATAAAAGCTTGAATTATATATGTTTGAAAGGATATTCTGAAAAATATATATACAATTTGTAAGAAATAATGGATTAAGATGTATATGAAATATGTATTAAATGTGTATGAAAATATGACAGGATTTCTTTCCCTTTCTGTAATATCATTATACCAGAATTTCAAAAGTTCAGAGTTTAACATTAAAAAAAAAAAGTTCTGACAAGCTAGTAGAACAATGACTACTTACTCTTTGGGTCACAATCTCAAGATTTTAAACTTCTTTTGGTTGTCTTCTGAATATAGGCTTACATGCTGTTTAACCCAAATCTGTAGTTTTTGCTAGGACTTAAGGATGTGACCTGTTACCTGCTTTTCCTACAATACAGATTTCAGTAGATATTGATCATGATAATATATCTAAAACTCTTATGTTTTTCATAAAAAAGAAATTTATATAAGCTTCAGAAAAGTGAGAGTCATAAAACTTGGATCCTCTTCTCACAAATAAAATGGATTATGGCATTTTTTCTCTCTCTTGGTCTTGGTACTCCTCCCCTTCCTCAATTACCGAAATCATGAGTCTACAAATTTCAAATGAGGTCATAAATTTTAACTTTTGTTAATTTTTTTTGTTTTGACAGATTTCTATTTGGCTGAAAAACACATCCAAACATCAATTGCTGACAACAGTTGGCTCCAAATAACTATGTGCTGTGGGACAGGTCTTGTACCCTGTAAAATTTTGTCAGTTGTAGTGGTTTAATAAAACGCTGATTGGCCAGTAGCCAGGTAGGAAGTATAGGTGAAGCAACCAGAACAGGAGAATTCTGGGAAGAGGTAAAGACTCGGTCTGTAGTTGTCACCTAGGCACAGAGGAAGTAAAATACCTTACTGATAAAAGGTATCGAGTTACATGACTAACACAGATAAGAATTGTGGGCTAATTAAAGATGTAAGAGTTAATAAGAAGCCTGAGCTAAGAGGCCAACCAGTTTATAATTAATGTATACCTCTATGTGTTTCTTTGGGACTAAACAGCTGTGGGACCAGGCAGGACACAAACCTCTGTCAACAGCTATGAACCCTGAACTTGTCGAAACCTGATATGGACAATCCAGTCAATGTGATTGCTATCCTTTCAGCTGATCAATGAACCAGATACTTCTAAGTTCCCTCATTGCCTTGACTAACATTGTAGGCTTCCAGGGCCCTGAGAATAATGTCCTAAGGTAAACAGGAAGTAATTACAGAAGGTGAATACGTCATCTCTATTTCCCCCTTGGAATGCTTGATCAAAAGGGCATTTCTTGTCATAAAAAATATGAGATAAAATACTAATTGGTCCCCATTCTCATTCCCAAGTTGATGCCTTTAATAAATGATAATTTGTCTAGTTATCATTAAGCTAAGGATGCTAAAATCCCAGTATAAGCCCCTGGATCAAACTCATCTCAAGAATTTAAGAGGGATATGGAATTTTGAAAAGGCACAAGGGAGTCTTAAGACTCTATTACAAAAAATAAGATAAAAAGGGAGTTATATCCTCAATCACTATATATGCATTTTATTTAAAAAAATGTAAATGTGGATGTCTGTGAGTAATCTTACCTGGATAGAGTTTGGCATGAAGGGACTCAAGCTGCCTTTGCTCATGTGAAACGGGAAGCTCTCTGCACTGGATTATGGAAGGCTCCTGACACTGTTTTGATATGGGGAGAGTGCATGTTTGTGTTTTTTCACAGGATGAAAATGCAGCTCAATTGATACAATATATGGAGCAGAGAGCTGCTGATCCTGATAATAATCCAGAAAAACTAAAGTGAGACCCATTGTGCATATGTTTCTGATCCACTGATTTTCCATCCTGCAGTTTGGAAAGGAAAAGAAATTATGGTCACTGTCGATGATACATGACTTTTAGATCCACCTGCTACTCAAGAGTTCCAGATTCCTCAAATATTTTCTCATGTTGGGTATGATAAAGTAATTCCTGTATGTTTTACAAAGAACATTGTAAAGGTTCCTTAGGTTAGGAATTGTAAACATTCCTAAGGTTGCTTAGGAATGACGCAAAATGGAGTGTTTCCAAAACTAATAATTGGACATGATAAGCAATGTACATGTTATACCAAGTTATTGCTCCCTCAAGGTAACTGAGTAAATAATACTCCACCCCATCAATGGTTTCCTTTATACATGAAAACATTGCAAGAGTCTAACAGATATTTGTTGAGGAAACAATATGCTGGCTTTATCCCGTTAAAGTACAACATCACAGGGACAACACAGTATATTCTTGACATGTCTGAAAATGAAGATGATTATAGTGACTCTTATTTCTTGTGTACAGTCTAATCTTGGGGCCAAGGACTGTCATCTGGAATTTGGTATTGCAGTATGAAATTTTCACAGACTTATGTTTGGAAACTTGCTGCTATGGGAAGAGTAGCAGGACAATCCAGTTCTTCAAAACCTGTTTGCCCCATGCTATTGTGATGGCAAAACGCAGTATCTTTTATCACAGCAGGGAACATGTTAATGTCATAATTCGGCATTTTGATGGTAAAGTGAATAGTTTGACAACAGAATATAGTATAGTGACGACAGAAAGAAGCATTACGATATCACAATTCAGCACTCTAGTGATAAAATGGAGCACTGTGATGATGTTATATACTATTACCATGGCAACAGGCAGTACTGTGGTGATACAATGAATTTTTGTAATGGTACAATAAAAATGACATCATTGTGATGACATTATCCTGCATAGAGAGGACATAGTAAAGTCTTTTGATGTCGTGTGATCACATTATAATACCAGATTTTAGAATTGTGCTGTTATAATTAAGCATGGAGCACTGTACTGACATACTATTTTATTGTATTGTCACAACACAGCATGGTGATATCAAAATCGAGCATTATGAGGGTCCAGTAGATGTAATAATCATAATTCCAGATTGCGGTGACACGATGGAACAATCTCATATCACAATAGAGTACTGTGATGGCAAAATGGAGCACTGTGAATACACACTGTTTTGATGAGTTGCCGATGCCTTCTAAGCTAATGGAGTATTTTGATGATGATGATGAGCATTGTATTGAATTACACAGCTGTGCTGGCACAATGTAGCACTGTGGTGGCCTAATACAGCATTGTGCTTGCACAACTGAGTACTCCAGTGTCACAGTTCAGCAGAGTAGATACAATGGAGCTTCCTGATATCACAAGACCACATTGTCATAAACTACCCATAATACAAACTTCAACTCTAGTCACAGCAATAAGGGTAATCCTAGCCTAGCCTTAATCCTAGCCCAAGTCCCATTTCTAAACACAACTGTAACAGTATTAACAAATTCTAACACTCTCTAAGGCTTAATTCTAAGCCTTTACTATCCCTAACATTAACCCTGTCCTAGGCCCAGCCCTACATCTAACCCCGACTTTAAGTTGAAACTAAATCACATAAACTTAGTACTAAACTAACATGATGTTAGCATTAGCCTAAACCTAAACCCCAATCCTAACCCTATTTATATATAACCCACAATCCTTGCCCTAACACTTACCCTAATAATATACCTAGTCCCAGTCCTAAAGCTAACTCACATTTATCCCTAGTTATTACACTGATCTTAGCCCTTTCCCTAATCTAACCCTAATGTAACCCCTAAATAAATGTAACTCTCGTGTATCCCTAAGGCTAACAATAGAACTCATCCTAACTCTAAGTCCAACCATACTAAGTCATAACTATAACTCTGTCCCTAAACCCAACTCTAGTCAACATCTGATCAGAACCCTAACTCCAGACTTAACATGACATAGAATATTAATGGGGTTTTTAAATGAGAATGGCCCCAATAGGACCATATGATTAGATAACTGGTCCCAGTTGGTACAGCCATTTAAGAATAGGTATGGCCTTGTTGGAGGAGCTATGTCATTGTGGGTGGGCTTTAAGATTTCAAAAGATTCTAGCTATTCTCAGTGTATCTCTCTCTACCTACTTGAGGATCAATACGTAAGTTCTCAACTGTTCCTGTACCACATCTTTGTTCTGCCATCATGGATTCTAAACTTTGAAATGCTTTTATTCTATAATTTGCCTTGGAAATGAGGTTTATCACAGCCATGTAAAAGTAACTAAGATAATAACTCTAACCCTAATCATGACCACATTCTAACACTAGCTGGGCTGGATAGTTTTTGCTAACTTGAAACAAGCGTATACATATCTGGAAAGGCAAAAATCTCAATTAAGAAATTGTCTCCATTAGATTGACATGTGGGCTTGACTGTGGAAAATTTTCTTGACCTCTTAATAGTGCCACCTATGGGCCTATAGGGGACATTTTTATATGATCCATGACAGGTCTGTTTGGAAGACAGAAAGCATTGCCACTTTACACTAATCTTTAACCATAGCCTAAACCTAATCTCAATTTCTTACCCTAATGCTACTTCTGTTGACAACCTTAACACTATAACACGTAACATCCCAAATCCTAACACTAATCCTATCCTGAATCCTACTCAAACCAACTACTAACACTATCATTACACTAAACCCAACCAATATCCTAACTCTAATACCATCACAAATCCTAATGATACACCTCATGTTCAACCACACTTAATATTAATCTTAATCATATCCCAAACATTCATCTGTAATGCAAAAACCTAAACCTAAAACTTAAACCTCTAACCCTAGTACCCAATCTCTGGCTCTACCACTATGGTTTATACTAATCCATAACAATAAAAATCCTGACCCTTACCAGAAACCTAATTTCTACTTCTCTAAATCTAACCCTAATCTTTAATCTTAACCCAATCCTTTCTATAATCTAATCTACAAACAGAACAAAGCAGAATATACAGGTGTCAACAGAAGCAAATTTTATTTGGCAGCTCTTCACAGTATGTGAATCACCTTCTGGCTATATTGCTTCTCTTTACACAGAGATACAAAATAATTGTATCTTAAAACATTTGAAAAAAGAAATCTATTTAAAAACCAATATTATTAAACATTACCATTTATTAAAGATAAAAACCAATTTTCACACTAATTGAGATGAGACGCTTGTTTTTAATTAGGTATTAAATCTTACATGATCGTGGCACTCACCTTTCATCCGAAAACTCAGGAGGCAGAAACAGGTGAATCATTGAATTAAAGGTCAGCCTGCTATACATACTGAGTTCCAGCCAGTCAGGGATACACAGTGAGACCCTGCCTCAGAAAAAAAAAAAAGAAAAAAAAAACACTATATATATCTGAGAATGCAAAATTTAGAGACTCAATGTTTTCCAGAGTTGAATCATCAATGTTGAGTGCCCTTCACGTAAATTAGTACAAAATGGCAAAGGTACACTTATGACCATTTCAGAAACTATTAGATAATCCCAAACCAAAATTCACTAAACAATCTTTATAAAATACATTTCAGTAAAGTAGAAAGCAATTTTTTTTTAAAAAAAATCAAGCTTCTCAACCCAATGTAATCCAAAGGTATACAAATTTCTTATTTGCAAACTGGTGACTAAGAAAGTAAAAATGTATCAAAATTTTTAACTTTGCAAAGTTAAAAAGTTATTACCTAATTCACTATAAAATGATCTTTTATACATAATAAAATCTAAGTCTACAGTGTTTATAAAGTTAATTGCTGTAATATTAATGTATAGTAAAGTCCTTAACATTCACATTCACTAAACTAGAGCTCACAGACATGCAGAGTAGTATCCAGTCCTGAAGACTCCATTATCCGTATGCTACTATCCTTTTACATATTTATACCAAATATTTGCAGTTTTTCCTAAATCGGTAAAACATTATGCTGCGCGTTTGGAGTAGAGTGTGGCAGACGATACTATATTTGTGACAGTTGATATTATCATCTTGAGAAAATCTAAAATCACCTGGGAGATGAGCTTCTGGGCTTGTCTGTAAGGGATTTAACCTGAGACAGGAAGACGCACCCTCAAGGTGACACTATTCCCTGGGTTTGGGTTCTAGACTTGCATAAGAGGGAGAAAACTAGAAAGTCATGAGTATTCATCACTCTTTGCTCGACTGTAGACACAGTGTGACAAGCTCCGACAAGCCCTTCCTGCTGTGACTTCTGTACCATGTCAGGCTGTGACACAGCTCAACCTCTGAACCAAAAGAAACCCTTCCTAGCTTGTTTTGTTGGGATATTTTATCACATCAGGAAAAGAACACACAATGACCTTCAGTTATGGAACTGTCTAATAGTGTATATATTACAAGCTACCTCTATTGCTGGAAGACTATACTTAATTTTTACCTCAATGTATGCCTACAAGAAATGGCAACTCATTCTTCTGACAAGAATACTGGAGACTGAACTCAGTTTCATGTATGTCCGTCAAGTATTCTACCCAATGAACAACATATGAAGTACTCTTCAGTTTTTGATGATAAAACAGTACTTAAATTGGTTGGCCAAGTCCTGAACTTGCAATTCTCCTCCATCAGCGACCTAAGTAACTAGTACTACAGGCTTGCACCATCCAGCCCCTCTAGAAACATCAATAAATAAAAATCCCTGGTAAACACAATATATGCATAACCTATGTAACATTACATTCATGTTATAAAAATCTGAACATGACAGGTTAACTTGCATCAGGATTTCAATATATTTAAAATTTACTTCCAATAGTCCTCATGACTCTGTTAAAATGTTGCAAACTTTACTTTCCAAACTAGTTTCAATCCAAAATCCTTTCTTCCAAGAGCTACCCCTATTTTCATTACCATGTATTCAAGAGGAAATATGAAAAATTAAGTATTCTAACATTACATTTATTCCTAAAGCACTCCAGCAGAGATGTTCACGTTTTCAAAAGGAAATGAACATCTTTTTGTTCATTTGTAGCCCTGGCCAGCCTGGAACTCCTATCTGCCTGCCTCTGACTCCCCAGTACTGGGATTAAAGGCAGGCACTGCCATGTTCAGTCTAGAACTGAATATGTTAACACATATACTGATAGGTTTTTATCCAGGAGGTCTATGATTAAAAATCAAACAAACAAAAACCCCTGAATCTTTCATTAGTCTTATACTACCGGATTTTCTTTCCAGGAATACTTTCAAACACAAGAAGGAAATTAGAAAGTCCACAAGTCTTTGCGCTGTTCAGACTCATGGAGCTTTTTCCCCAGCATGAGTCTTTTCGTGTCTCTGAAGAGACCGGTGACATCGAAAGGTCTTACCACACTGCTTACAGTCATACGGTTTTTCATGACTATGAGTTCTTTCATGTCTTTGAAGGGAACTGTGGCATCTAAATGTTTTGCCACATTGTTTACACTCAAAGGGTTTTTCTCCAGTATGGATTCTTTCATGTACTTGAAGAGAAGGGAAGCGCCAGAAGGCTTTACCACAGTGTTGGCATTCAAAAGGTTTTTCCTCAGAATGAGTTCTTTCATGTAATCGAAGGGAGCTTTGAACTCTGAAGGCCTTACCACATTGTTTACATTCATAAGGTTTTTCTCCAGTATGCGTTCTTTCATGTCTTTGAAGAAAAGAGGGATAAATGAAGGATTTGCCACATACTTTACATTCATAGCGTTTCTCTGCAGAATGAGCCCTTTCATGCATTTGGAGTAAATACCGAGAAACAAAGGACTTGCCACACTGCTTACATTCGCAGAGATTTCCTTCAGCTTTCTGTCGTTCATGTATATTACTAAGACTGAACACTTTACCATGCTGCTTGCAGTCAGAAGGTTTCTCAGGATTGTGAGGTATTTCATGCACTCGAAAACTACTGAGCGCTGTGAAGGTTTTGCCATATTGTTTACATTCATGTGGCTTCTCTCCAGTATGGATCCTTTCATGTAGCTGAAGGGAACGTGGACAACTGAGACTTGTACACTGCTTACATTCATAAGCTTTTTCTTCAGTACGAGTTTTTTCATGTACTTGAAAATAACTGAATTTCCTGGCGGTTTTATCAGCTTGCAGAAATGCATAGGATTTTTCTCTAATATGAGTTAGTTCATGTAACTGAAGGGCACTGGGACAACTGAGGCTTTTATCACACTGTTTACATGGATACAGTCTTTCTTTAGTGTGAGTTCTTTTATGTATGTGAACGTAAGTGAGACTCCTAAATGTCTTACCACACTGCTTACACTCATAGGGTTTTTCATCTGTGTGAGTTCTTAAATGCCTCTCAAGTAAACAAGGAAAAATGAAGGACTGACTACATTGTTCACATGCATACTTACATGCATAGTGTTTTCCTCCAGTATGAATCTTTGCATGTCTTTCCAGGGAGGAGGCATAATAAAAGGCTTTACTACATATCTTACATTTATAGGGCTTTTCTACAATATGAGATCTTGCATGTATTTGGAAGGTATTCCAATCTCTGAAGACTTTACTACATTGCTTACATTCAAAGGGTTTTTCCTCAATGTGAGCTCTTTCATGTCTTTGAAGGAAAGAAGGACAGAGAAACACTTTACTACATATCTTACATTTATAAGGTTTTTCTACAGTATGAGCCCTGGCATGCAAGCGAAGGGAACTATGACTTTCAAAGGCCTTACCACACTGTTTACACTGATAGGGTTTTCCCCACATGTGAGTCCTTTTGTGTCTTTGAAGAAAGGGGGAACAAAGAAAGGCTTTACTGCAAAGCTTACATTTATATGGTTTTGCTCCAGTGTGAAATCTTTCATGTGTCTGAAGTAAATATGGATAAGTGAAGGACTTAGCACACTGTTTACATGCATAAGGTTTCTTCCCAGGATGAGCTGCTGTATGTCTTTTAAGGGAGCAGTGACTTCTGAAAGCTTTACCGCACTGTTTACAATCGTAACAGTTTTCACCGCTGTGAGTTCTTTCGTGCATTCGAAGGTAACTTTGACATTTGAAAGCTTTACCACACTGTTTACATACATAAAGTTTTTCTCCATTATGAATCCTTTCATGAAATCGAAGAGAACTGGGAGAACAGAGGGTTTTTCCACACTGTTTACACTCATAGGGGTTTTCTTCGATATGAAAAACTTCATGTAACTGAAGATAATTGTGACATCGGAAGGTTTTCCCACACCGTTTACATTCATAGGGTTTCCCTCCAGTATGAGTTAATTTGTGTAAATGAAATGAACTTTGCTGTCTGAAGGACTCCCCACACTGTTCACATTCATAGGGGCTTTCGCCACTATGAACTCTTTCATGACTTTGATGGGAACCAGAACTCAGAGCTTTACCGCACTGTAAACACTCAGAACCTTTATCGTCGGTGTTGATTCTTCCATCCATAGAAAATGAACAGGGGCAAATGACAGCCATTCCAGATGGCTTACAGGATTCTTCACCACTGTGACGTCGTTGTATTTCAAATGAACCTGGAAAATGAAAATATTTTTAAAACATTTGACATTTATAAAGTATCTGAGTATCATTGAATATTTGAGAGTTCAAGGTTTTCCTACATTGTTTACATTTATATTGCTTCTTACCATATTTGTGTTCAGATGGTTTGTCCCTCAAGTGAGGCATGGTATGTTCATTAAAGGATAAATTACAAGTGAAAACATTCCCACACACACCACATTCAGATGATTTTATTCCAGGAGAAATGTTTGTACTACTATGGAGATTTGGTATCCAGGTAAAGGTTTCTTGAAACTTACCACCTTCTCTATGCTCCCAGATTGTATCTACCATGTGACTTCTGTTAAAAAAAAAAAAGCATAAATACATTAGCAATGGCTGCTTCACTAATAACTCTCTGCTCACTAGTAAGTGCTAGACTGATACTACTCAGAAAAACCAGTGTATGTTTTGCAACCTGAATAGTTTCTTTCCTAAAAGAGTTATTATCAAAACCAACCCCACAGGCTGGAGAGATGGCTCATCAGTTAAGAGAACTGGCTGTTCTTCCAGAGGTCTTGAGTTCAATCCCCAGCACTCAGGCTGTGACTTACAATTGCCTATACCTGTAGGCCCATGGGATTCAATGCCTTTGGTGTGCATACAAAATAGCCATATACATGAAATATACAAATTAATCTTTATATATGTGTATGTGTGTTGTCTAAGTACTGTTTCCAAGTGAACTTTTTAAAAAATATATACACTAAAGTATGAATTGTTGGTGAATTTTTTCTAATGATAAGTAAATTTTAAAGTTCTGGCTCTCGTTTTCTTTTTTAATTTAAAATTTCAGCATTATTTATTTTATGTACATGGGTGTTTTGCCTATATGCATATGTGTACCCCACACTAGATGCTCTGGAAGTGGTGTAACAGATGGTAGTGAGCCATCAGGTAGGTATGAGGACCAGAACCTGGGTCCTCCAGTACTCTTAAATACTGAGCCCTCCCTCCAGCTCCTTTTTTTGTTTATTTGTTTATAAACTTCTGTAACACATTAAGAAGGTCTTGTTTTCTTGTGTGAGGGGGTAATTTTTCAAGGCAGGATTTCTCTGTAGCTTTGGAGCCTGTCCTAGAACTTGCTCTGTAGACCAGGCAGACCTTGAACTCAGAAATGTGCCTTTTTTTGCCTCCAAGTGTTACGATTAAAGGCGTATACCACCACTGCTTGGCCCCACATTAAGAGTTTTTTAAGCAAAACTTTCTTCCACTTGTATACGCAAATTACCTTAGATGTCTCCAAGGATGTTCGCACTGCTGTCCAACACTCCAGTCTTCCCATCTGATGCCTAAAATGTAGACCCAGAAAAATCACAAACTGTTAGAAACTACAGAAAAATGAGCTTCTGGGTTTGATGTACACTGGACCCATCCCTGTTTATTCACTGATTTCTTCCCTTTCCAAATTCCAAATCATAGGACCTAGGAGCACATGTTCCTTGACAAAACAAACGGTGGCACTCCTACCTAGAGAAGTAAGGTTACTGCAGGTTTCCAGCATCACATCTCTGTACAGCTTCTTCTGAGAAGGACCCAGCAATATCCATTCGTCCTGGCTGAACTTCACTGCCACATCCTCGAAGGCCAAAAACTCCTAAAACATCCAGAATATATACAAAAAAGAACAGATGAAACTAACGGATTTAGAGATTTACACTCAGTTGATAGGATGTTCATATAATTTTATGGTATTCAGGAATTTATTCAATCAAACTGAAATTCTAGTGCTAGCCCTGAGATGTTAAGAAAGGATACAGCAACAGAGTTCTAAATCATCCGGGAATATACTGAAACTCTGATTTCATGGGGGGGGGTGACTAAGAAAAACGAAATAGAACAGGAACACTCCTCATTACTGTGCCTGCAAGTTGAATGTGCTGCTAGGCTACCCCACTTTTTCTTTCTAGAGTGGATTTCTAATACCTATCATAAGAGAGTTCTGCCAAATGATATACAGAATAGAACTAACATTAGCAGTCAAGACATTGTTTTTCTTCATATATTTCTACATGCAAAAGTGTGGGATTTTCTGGTATTGGGGAACCTAAGATCCTGGGAGACATTCCACTAACATAAATGATAAGAACAGTTCTCTTATTTTAAATGACTTATATAAACAACAATTTTCTGAACATTGGCTTTCTGAATGTTCTATACACACAGAGGTACCAAGACAATCTGCCCCTGCACGCTATGATCTGCGTAGTGAGGCTACAGAATTTTTCTGGTAGACAACAGTTCATACATATTCTCATTTGTTAAGTGGGGAAATTGAGCCCATCCTGTGTGATTACACCAAGAGAAAACATTTAGAAGCCTCAAAGGTAATTTATACAATCTACAATTTACCACAGCAAGAATGACTGATGATCTTAACAAAAAATTAACACGAAACAATTAGATGGCATATGTTTTTACTAAGAATGCAATGTAGTCAGATATGTTGACATGTGCTTATAGTCCCAGATATTTGAAAAATCAGTATATAGAATCACCTGCATCCAGAAGTTCAAAGCCAGACCGTACTCTATTTAAAGGCTCCTATCTCAGGAGAGAAAGAGATAGTGAAGGATGAGAGAGAAAGAGAGGAAAGAGAAGTGTCACCAAAATGTCACCTATTTGGAATAATATCTCTATAAAATCACATGATATTTAAAAACCCACCTATTAGTAGTCACCAATAATTAATTTTCCAACTTTCGCCTAGTCCAAGTTCTTAGCAATTGTCAGTCTTCTAAACAGTAAAGTGATGGCTTGTCTATCAAAACATACCAAAGACTTTCATACTATTCTGTAGACACAAAGGATTAAAAATAAAAACAAATTTCATACTTTGGAAATTTACTGGGACTTTATAAAAATGGCCAGCTTAAAGAAAAAAATGCAAAACTTGCTAGTCCACAAGATAAGGTATTTCACATATCCACCCTGATATGGGCCACATCATATAAATCCAAGTCACTTTCCCTAACTGTTATGAAAAGAAGTCCTTCACCCTCTCAGCTATGTAATGTGAGCTTACTGCTTCCTACGTATTTCAAAAAGCTCTTTGTCTGTGCAGGTCTTGGATAATACTTTTGATCGACTGTTATTGGTATTTCTTATGCTGTTTTGTCCAGCATTTTGAAGGCTTACAAAGAAACTCTTCTTACCTCTGGTGCTTGTGGTGGTTAACAGTTAAAGTCTCCTAATTTAGAAGACTCTCAAACAAGTCTTTAACTAGAATCCCAGATTTTGTCTCCCATCACAGGACAAGCTAAGGAAGTCCTTTTCAGTCTTTGCAGAAAGATATACTTCCCATTCACAGCTGATGGACACAGGCCAAAGGAATTCTTTGTTGGTATTTTAAGGTGATAGAGGGGAAAAAAAAAGGACAGCTAACTGTAGTCTCCAATTCTAAAACACTTCATTTCTCTTGTTCTGAAAACTGCCTCTCTCCACCTGTAAGTCTCTGACTCTTGCCCCTAACCCAGATACACTCCTTTCACATACTCACACATAAGTTTGTCAGAGAACTCAAGAAGCAAGAAAATGTGACACTTTAACCCTCAGAAAATATTCTTTATGCTGGGTGTGGTGGCGGCGCATGGCCTTTAATCCTAGTACTAAAGAGGCTGAGCCAGGCCCATCTCTGAATTTGTGTCAATATAGTAAGTTCCAGATCAAAACTAAATGGTGAGACCCTGCTCAAAATCCAAATCTATATATAGTTTGTGAGGTGGCTAGCGGGGACCCCAGTACCATCTAGGTCCCTGTTTCTTTCTCCATCTGATCTGCCCCAAATCTAACAACTATGATCATTTTGCCCAAAAGTCCCTTCTATCTTCATTAAGGAATTCAAAGGATTAATTGCAGTCTTTTAACCTAATCTGGGGAATATATTTATAACATTTTATTTTTAATTACTTTTATATGTATAAGTGTTTGCCCACACATATGCCTGTGCACCATATGCATGCCTGGTCCCCTTGGAGACCATAACTGGGCACTAGATCCCTTTGAACTGGAGTTATAGACGGTTATGAGCTTCCATGTGAATGCTGGCAATGAAATCTGAGTCTGTGAAGAGCAGCCAGGGTTAAGCGATGAACTACCTCTCCAGTCCCTACTTAAAGCATTCTAACCACTTGTGTACAAAGAGGTTCCATACCTAAACTTTAGCAGGCAGCTGAGTAGATGAGAGCCATAGTCTTAACCCTGATAACAGAAAAGTCATGTTTCTTTACGGTACTTGACAGGAAACTCAAATGATTATATCAGAACTCCTACATGGGAAGCAATGGGGGAAAGCATCCCCAGGAATACATGATTCCCCATGTCTTAGAAAGCAAAACGCTGCTGCTATCAACTCCATTGACAATGCTATGTTATGAAACATAACAAATGAGCCGTCCAAATACCTTGTTCTTATTTTAATATAGACTGGCTGAAATCAGGCAACCAATACTAACCTGGACTCTTAAAGGCCAAAGGCAACCTATCTGTAAATTTTTTTAAACTTCTTCAGGTATTAGACAAAAGTTTCAAAAATCAGAACAGGGACACCAAATTCCTTTCCTACTATTTTCTAGGCAGACACAGTCTTCAAAGCTTTATTTAGTAATTAAGAGGATTCAAAGGTCAGAAAAGCCAAGCCAGGAGATTAAAGGGACTGCTGCGGCAACTTCCCATTCCCTAACCGTCTCAGAAAGTGTAGGACTCCACCTAGAGGAACCACCTTATCTTGGTGACAAATGAGCCACTGATGATCCTCGCAGTCAGTCTCCGTGTTTCAGCTGTGAGAGCGCAAAATAGCTCGGCTATAATAAACCTCTTATGAGACCATGTGTAATCTGCTAACTGGAGGGCCATTAGAATCATAACTGCCCCTCCCCTGTCATGAAAGGGCCATCCCGTATCTAAAAATCTCAGGCTAGGGTCAAACATGAAAACTGACAACATCCTTAACTTTGGTACTGGACAATAACAAACTTCCAAACTTCCCCTTTGAAAACACGACCCTGGGGTTACACAACTTCCAAGTTTTCCCTGGGACTCTATGTATGAATATCTGATAATCCAAGATATGGCAAGGGTTATGACCATACTACAACATAAGAACCACATTCTCCTCCCTACCTTTCTGATTAAACACTCCTGTCCCGTCTTCCTCCCTAGCAGTAAAGGTAAACTCCAAGCAGCACACTTAAACCTCTCTTAACTTGTATGATAGACTCTTTTTCATTCATTCCTTTTGGTTCTACCCAGCTGCCTGATTCCCTTCCTAGGTAGGGACATTGCGTCCAACCTCCAGTATCACTTATGACATTTAAAGGAATCTTAAAATATTCATAAAACTAATCCCCTGCCGTATAAATATCCAGGAGTGTCTAGAACCCCAGATATCCTCCCTTACCTCTATTATACAACCCTCCATCTTATAAAAAGTTCCCCTTTAAGTGTGAGGCATCTCTAGTCCCAGATGCTCACTAGCAGCCACTTCTTTCACTAAAGACTTTCTCCAAAGGCTCAATTGAAACCTAAAATGAAAATTGAAACCTAAAACCTAAAAAAACAAACAAACAAACAAAAAAAACTAAAAGTGTTTGGAGTATGTTGTTGACAAACTTCTTAAGCCCATATTACTCATCACGTAATACTCTTACATTGGCAGTAAGAGTCAGATGGATCCTAAAGAACATTCCAAGACCAAAAGTCACAAATTAAACTGTGATCCCAACCACTCCATAGGTCCCTCACACTGTAAAGGAAAAATATACTCCAATACCTGGGTTTATAGTTTAAACTTTAAGGATGCTTCCTTCTGCATTCCAATCCACTCAGACGCAGTTCTTATTTGCCTCTGAATGGCAGGACGGCTTATGACAGATTCAACCACTCACCTGGAGTGCCTTGCCTCAGGGCATATGGGCAACCCCTGCCTCTTTGCCATAACAGAAAACCCTTTCTTCCTTGAAATGTTCATAAAGGAATAGCTTTAATTTAGTACACAGCTAATTTTATTAACCTCTAACAGTCCTCTTACCTCACATCAGAACACTACTGTAACTCATCAGAGACTAGCCTCATATTTACATTACAATTTCCCCTTCAAAGTTACAAATCACCATGCAAATAATTTGATAATCAGCAGGCACAAGGCCTTACAGACATCCTAACTATGGGGTTTCCAAAAGAATTAAAAACCTATGAGTATGTATTATCTGTCTACAATTAAAGCTTTTCCACCCCCAAAATCCTACTCCTGAGAGCCTCTTAGAAATGTCTCTGTCCTCTCCCAATGACTCCCAAGGTGAAACACACCCTCACACACCTGCAGCCTTTCCTTTCTCCTTTCTGGCTTCTATAATTGCACAGGTCGTACCTTCTTACTCCCTTGAAGTCATTTCAGGGAATTTGCCCTAAATCTGTTCCTCCCGGGAACGTTAAACTATGCCACAACTAAGGACACCACCGATCTTTAGTGATGATGCCCATGTTACTCCTTTATCCCATTATCTCAGAGCTCCTATACCTACTGTTCCTTCCACCTTTCCAGATTCCCCTGTCATACACGTTACCTCTTTGTCAAAGTCATGCTGGGGTGCCACTTTTAACCATTATGACTTTAGTTACAGATACAGATAAAAGGCTGAAAGCATATACCTGACATCACTGAGTCTTGGAGGGATGATTCTTTTGGGAGACTTAGAGTTGGGTTTCCTAATTTCTGTTTATGGGTTATTATTTGGGTTATGGGTAGCAAGGTCCAAGAGACTCAGAGCTGTCTTTCCTAATTCCTGTTGTTTATGGGTTCTGACTGGAGTTATGAGTAGGGAGGACCTTGTTTAACCTTCTGGTTCTATGGAGACCTTCAAGACCATAGGCCATTAAGTTCCAGATGCCATTGTCTGAGAGATATCCACCATTACTGTAGCATGCATGTGGGTATCAAGACAATCTTCAATGTTGGACCTTGTTTTCCAACCTGAGGCAGATCTCTCATTTTTGCTACTACATTACATATTCCAAGTCAGCTTCCGGTCAGCTTCCAGAGCATTGTTCTGTTCTGACCTACCACCTCACCATATGGGGACTGGGATTCCATACATGTACCACTACATCTGGTTTGTATGTGGGTCCCAGGGATTAGTACTCAGATCATATAGCTTGTGCAGAATATGACTTTACCTACTGAGCCATCTCACCAGTCCAAAACAGATTATTCTGGCTCAAAGTCATACTCTTTAAGTATACTGGATCTGGTTCTCAATTTTTAAAATTGTTTGTATTCTATAAAATGTTTTAATGTTCTGGAGAATTTGAAATAATTCATTATCTTGTAATTTTAATTTTCTCTCTAGCCAGTTTATTCAATTCCATAGGTATAACATCATATAGCATGGTTAATTCTGATTTTTAGAAAAGAGTGGTCTTTGATGTCTAAATTATTGTAACTCTTACTTGAGACTAACAATTTCATTTGGCGTTATTTTAGTATTATGTCAGGTTTGGGTTTGGGAAAGTAAATGTTTAGTCACTGGGATAGTTAGTTTTAAGAGCCAGTCTGACACTGAACACCTTAAGAGAGTCTCAATGAGGATCTATCTAGATCAGGTTGGCCTTTGAGCACGGCTGTGGAGGACTGTCTTGATTATATTAACTGGGGTAGGAAGATACATCCACAGGAGGTGGCACTATCTCACTGTGTAAATGTAGAGAGGGGCTGAACAAGTAAGCACGCATACATTCATTCTCCCTCTGCTCTCTACTGTGGGTGTGACTGCTTCAAATTCCTGCCCTGCTTTCCCCTCAATGGACAGTAATCTGGGATTGTTAGCAGAATAAACCCTTTATTCCCCCAAAGTTGCTTTCACCAGGGTGTTTTACAACAGCATCAGACAGGAATCTAAGAATTTAGCACCAGTCCTGATAGTTTCCAAAACTCGTGTTAAGTTTTGTCATTTTTTTCTCTCAGAGGAGTTAAATTCCAATTTAAACAGACTGCTCATTTTAGCATTAGTTTCAATGTCTAGGACACCTAGGTTAGCATGTTAAGAAAAAAAAATCTAGGCACAGTGTCACACTTCCTAGCTATTGGGAAGCAAAGGCAGACAAATCTGAATTGAAGCCAGCCTGGTCTATAGAGACCCTGTAGCAACACCCCACCCCCACCCCCTCCACACACAAAAGGACTACCAATGGTCCCTACTGAAGAAACCATGGCAAATTACCAGTAGAGCCAGAATTAAATACAAAACCAGCTGGAAGATCAATAGGTAACTTTAAACATTTCCTACTTTATTGATTTCTTGATCCTCTTTCATTTTTTCCGTGAATATGACAAAAGTCTCTACTTTGGCTAAGTAAGTGAACTGTAGTGTTATTTGTTTGTTTGTTTGTGTTTTTGACATTGTTTCCCTGTGAAGCCCTGGCTGCACACAGGTACTTACTCTGCAGACCAAGCTGGCCTTGAACTCACTCACATAGATCTACCTGCCTCTGTGTCCCAAGTGCTGGGATTCTGTGGTCTGTGTTTTAGATCAGATTTATATGCTGATGATAAGAATAGCTGTCTCCAAGGTATACCAAGCTTGTCCTGGACTCTTATGGTAAAGTAAAGGGGGGGGATCTAAGACACCAAGTGATCGACCTTACTGTGTCTTCCTGAGGCAATAAAGTTCCTTCCAGCCCAGGAACAGGATATACTTTGAGATATCGCTATAAACTTATTACAAATCCCAGGACTGGAGAGGTGGCTCAGCTGTGGCTGTGCTTCCAGAGGACTCAGCTTCAACTCCTGGAACCCACCTGGTAGCTCACAACTGCACGGAACCCCAGTTCCAGGGAACACCATCACATAGACACACATCCAAGCAAAATATCAATGCACATAAAATAAATAATAAAATTAAAAAAGAAAAATTAATACAAATCTTCGGATTTCACCCTGTACAGAAAGAGAGCAAATGCCCCTTAATTTTGGCACCTTTAAGGTTAGGCACTGAGATTTCCTAAACTAAAGACAGCACACTGGAAAACCTGGATATGAAATCAAAGTTTTAAGTAACGCATGGTAAAGGAAAGGTCTCAAGAGAAATCTAAATATTTCAAAAGAATTTAAAGCACATTTCATGAATAATTATGCCACAAAGCACAAGTCGTGTTTGTGAGGGATTAAATCAATAAATACATATACTACAAATGAAGACAGATGAAAAATAAATCATTTAGTCTTCCATAATAGGACACTAGAAAAAGAAATAAATCAAAGCACAGGAAAATAATTAGAGAATAAAAAAATTGTGACTAGGAAATCAAGAGACAACCAACTGATTACTCTAAACCCTAGTTCTTCAAAAATATTGATAGAATTGATAAGCTTACAGCCATGCTTTAAAAAAGATTAATGATTACAATTATAGAGCGCCACCTACATACGATCATACCACCTTGAACAAACCTGATCTCACCTGATCTTGGAAACTAAGCAGGATCAGGCCTGGTCAGTACCTGGATGAGAGAATTAAATAGGGCCATCATTAGCACGAGGATGAAAAGAACCATGGGCATCCTATGAACAACTCCAGACCACATACTTAGTAACTCAGAAGAAATGAACAAATTCTCTGAAATAATCTATCAAAAGGAGAGATGGCCGGTATGAGCAGGCCTTCATTGCTAAAGAAATGAAATCACTAACTCTCAAAACAAGGTTAGGTAAGACTCAAACTATTTCAACCATCGGTATTTTTTTTTCAAACAATTAAGATATGGCACTGATTCTATAAAACTTCCTCTGAAAAGGCAAATACATTCTAGTTCCAACTTTGAGTTCAACATCACTTTAACACCAAAACAACAGAGGTGAAAAAACAAAGGAAAACAAAACACATGAACCTAAAGAATGACCAATGCAAAAACTCTCAACATCAGCTACCTCAACTTTCAAGTGTATTTTTTAAATTATTAAAAAAAAAAAAGTCCAGAGCCAGTGTGGTTACATATGACTGTAATCCCAGTATTTGGCAGGCTGAAATAAAATGACTGCCAAGAGTTTGAAGTCAACCTGGTCTGCAGAATAAAAGACTGTCTGGAAACCAAGTTTATACTAAAACCATGCTGGAATTGATGCAGACACAGAAAGTCAATTCAAACCTTAAGATTCAGACTATAAACAATGCTCTATGATAAAACACATGCCCAGCACTATGCAAATAAGATGTTTTGATCGTCATCAACAGAAAAAAGGAAAAACATAAAAATGTTGTCCACCAAACTGACATGTTAAATAGCAAAAGTCATGTCATCATACTAGTAATGGCCAACAACCAACAAACAAAACACTGCCAGAAAAGGAGAGCACTATTGAGATCATCAAGAGTTAGAAATTACAACCACCACGCAGCTTTTACAGCACCAAAGATAAGTGAGACATGTGTATATTAATGTAACTAAGACCACAGGTAAAAATCACACACTTCTAACGAATAAGTAATCCAAGTACTTAACAAGTGGAGGGATGTCCATGACCTTGAAAAGGAAGCCTCAAAGTTATGATCTACAGAATCAACACAATCCAGCACAAATCCTCAGAATTTATGTTGAAAACAACAAAGCTGATCTAAACACTACATGGCAAGAGATACGCAGAATGGTCAGCACAAGGACCGAGGCTATAGCACGGCCGGTAGTGCGCTTGACTACCGTGAAGCCCGAGGTTCCTTTCCGCAGAAGCACACAAAACAACAACAAGAGGCCTACAGACACAGTCTTAATCCCAGCACTGTGGAAGTGGGTTTAGGTAGCAAGATCAGGAGTTCAGGGTCATCCTCAGCTAAGATAAAGTTTGAAGCCAGCCTAGGAAACACGAGATTCCGTCTCAAAAAGAAAAAGAAAAAAGTTAACAAAATGCTGAAGCATAACAATACACTATCTGTCTTTAAGGTGTCCAAACTACAATAATCAAATTAGTGCAATATTTCGCAAATAAGAATAAGCAGAATAAAAAAGTCAGAAGCAAACCCACAGATACAAGAGTAACTGATTTAACAAAGCAGCAAACCAAAAACTGGACACACTTTACAACTTTCACAAAAACTAATTCAAAGCAGCTCCTAAACCTAAATAAGAAATGCAAACATCGGAACGTCTAGGACTCAGAAACTAGACCACCTTGCCTCAGCAACTGACCGTCCCATCAACACAACCTTGAATCTGTGAGCGAGCATTCCGACAGCTGTGACATCACCAGCGCAGAGCATTGGGGAGCAGGGCGGAGCCTCTTGCCCTCAGCGCTCTGCGCAGAAGCGGCCTCCGGAGCTGTCCCGGAGCCGCTGGTCCAGGGCCTAGGTCGCCCCGCCCCTACCAGGAGGAGGCCCGGCCACACCAGTGCTCGAGGTTCACCCGCCGCCCCTCCCGGTCTGGGGACAGCGGCCGATCGCTCACCATGGTGCGGTTCCGAGCTCGCCCGCGCTCTTCCCACAGCTCCGGTACCGGCTCACACAGCGCAGCACACTCGCACCTCCCTCGGCCACAGAGAACCCACAGCACAGCAGCCAGAAAGAACCCGCCCCTCACCGCCTGCCGGAGATCCTGATTGGACGGCCTGCTTAAATACCCTGATTGGCCAGCGAGGCTTGAGTGACAGGAGCAGCTCCTGTAGGGAGGAAGCCGAGCTCAAAACACAGGGGTAGCTGGACAAAGTTTGCTTTTAAGTAGAACTCGTTCTGCACCCGAGAGCTGAATTTTTATTTAGTAGGCACTCCTTGCTCTTCCTTCTAGTCAGTGTCGCTAGTGTTGGCATAAGGCATTACACAAAGCCCAATTAGTGATGCCTCCTAACAGGAAGGGTGCCCAGCGCACCAAGGGTAAATCTGAAAAGTCCTCCACTGATCAGCAATTTCTGAAGGCACTCTTAGGATTGCTCATACCTTCTCCCTGCACATTTTTAGCCAGAAAAATAGTAACTCTTCGCACTAGGAAGATCAGCAGTTCAAGGCTAGGTTGGATTACATGCGATTGTCAACAAATGACATCTTCCAATAGGAAAAAAAATTGAAGAATAGAGATTAAACCAGCAATCCATGAAATGGATAATAATAAAAAAATAAAACATCCAAAAAGCACTAATATTAAAAGTTAATTTTTTAAAAAAGATTTGTATAGCTTGTGTGTATAGAGTATCATATCTCCTGGAGCTACAGTCACAGGCTGTTGTGAGCTGCCAGATGTGAGTGCCAAGAAGCAAACACCCTGGCAAATGGAAGAACAGCCAGGGCACTAAACCACTCGGTTCTGTTCGAAATGAGAAAATCTGAGTGCAGCAGCGCACATCTGTACTCAGCTCTTGAATGACAGAGACTGAGCCAGAAGGATCAAACATTTCAGGCTAGCCTGAGCTACAGAGACCCTATCTCAAAGAAGCAAACACACAAAAAGGAATTGTAAAGGGGATCGATAGCAGTGATGGTTGTTAGGGGCACAAAGCTCCTTTTACCCATGGCTCACTAGGGAAAACAGGAATGTTAAACATGTAAGGGTGTCTCCTCAATGGAGAAGATAAAATACCTGCATTCCACCCAGAAAGCTGAGAGTACAGGCTGTTAATGACCCGGTGTCCTCACCAAAAATGCTTATCCCAGACTCTTCTTCCCTGGGCCTTTTATCTTTAGCTCCCAGCCCATTCTTAGTCACACAGTACTTTATGACCTGCTGACCTCTATGCTATCTCAGAGACCACGGGCAGATCCTAAGTCTTTTAGGTCCGGACCCCACCTTCAAGGTCACCTCACCTTAAACTTCACTGTTGCCTGGAAACCAAGAATGGGAATGACTGTTGTCTGGAAACTTTTCCCCACACTCTATTATGTCTGATATTCTGTTACTGTTTTGTTATATAACCAACTGGCATCAGACTTCCCCAAGTTTGATCCAGGTGGACAAAGTCAATCTAATCTGAGCTTTCTTTTTCACCTTGGCCAGGTTTGCTTCCCTGCCTGTGACACCTGCAGAGCCCCTGATGTGGGAAGTCCTTCTGTATATGAGTTGCATTTATTGATTAATGAATAAAGCTGTTCTGGCCTATAGCAGGGCAGAATATAGCCAGGCTGGAAAGGATATATAGAGAGAGTAGGCGGAGTCCGGGAGATGCCACGTAACTGACGAAGAAGGACACATAAGAACCTTACTGGTAAGCCACAGCGTCGCAGTGATACACAGATTAGTAGAAATGGGTTTATTTAAGATGTAAGAGTTAGTTATTAAGAAGCTTAAGCTAAGAGGCCAAACAGTGTTTCAATTAAAATAGTTTCTGTATGATTATTCAGGTCAGGACAGCTGAGAAACAAAAGAGCAGTCTCCACCTACAAAATGACACCAACATGGAGCAACTACATCCACATAAAAACTGAGAGAGTTTGGGAAGGAATTCTAGACACAAAAGAACCAAGTTAAGCACAGCTTCTTGGTAGCCTCATTTTCTCAGATAAGCTCTGTTTGCTGGCGGCAAGCAGAGGTGCAGTTCCTTTAAGAGAAGGCATGCAGTACCCACAGAAAAGTGACTTCTGAACTTGCCAAAAGAAGGTGAGACAGTCCTCCACAGCCCCTGCTTCATGAAAGAACTGTCAGACACTTTGCAGGACACAGAAGAAAACAACTGATAAACTTTGCCATTACAAGACTGAACAGATCTTCAAATTTCCTGCTTTATGGAAAAGTCTGCTGGATACTGTGGGCCTGTAAGCTGAAGATGGATGCCCCAACATTACAGAAGAACTTTGAGTGGTTGTCCAGGCAGTGAGATGTCTCTGTCAATTCTAGAGTTTTGAAAGTTGCTTACAATACATTTCCCATTTACTTAGGTAACATTATATCCTTCTGGCATCTTTGATGGAGTTGAAGACAAATAGCTATAGTTTTCCTTAGTTATGATAAAAGATAAATTAGTTGTGAAACTTTAGACTCACAAAGAAATATTGTAACTATAATTCTTGCTTGATAATTATTTTGTATATGCAATTTTACTATGTTAAAGTTAAAACCTTCCTGAGAGAGAGTTGAACATCATCCTTACAGATCTGAAAGAAACAGCAAGTCAACTGAGAATTCAATTCCCAGTGAAGGAAAAGTCATGATTTTATTCACATAGAGGATTCTCCAAAGAGATATAGAACTAAAAGAATCAATCTGGCTCATCCAACAATAGTTGTATCTCCCAAAGGAAAGGCCAAGAATCTGGGAGTTATTCAGTCTACAAGGCTGGGTGTCTCAGCTGGTCTGCAGTCTACACTGGAATCCCAGAATGATTGGAAGTAACACTCTTATGTGTTCCTGATAAGTACACAGTATTTAAGAACACATCACATGGCTGAACATAGCAGTACATACCTTTAGTCTCAGCACTCAGGAAGAGGCAGAAGGATCTCTCTGAATTCAAGGTTAGCCTGCTCTACATAGCAGGTTCCAGGACAGCTAGAGAGGTAAGAGCCTATCAAAAAAAAAAAAAAAATTTACACACAACAACCATCAAATGCTATTTATAGCTTAACTGAAAATTTTCAAACAAAGTTGTTAAGAACAAGCAACAGTGGAGTCCAGAGTGGATCTGCATGCTTTTAATCCCAGCACTAGGAAGGCAAAGGCAAGTAAATCTCTGTAAGTTCCACCATGTCTCAAAACAAGCAAGACCTCTCTCAGAACAAACAAGTCTATCGGTAGCACTAATTAGACTGGTAACAGGTGGAATGTGGACACAGGAAATATAATCAAAATATAGTGCAGCAGCCTCTCAAAGATAAAAATACTTTTAAAACAATTAAAAGCTAGACAAAGTATTACAGGACATTAATGAGAAGTTTCCACTACTCCATCAGGGTAAACCACCTTCTCAGAATCCAGTGACTAGAGACTGAACTTTGCTCCACATTTGGAAAACCCATAAAAGTAACACTGAAGAGTACCAAATATCTACTCTCCAAGGTCTTGACAACAATCTTACAATTCAGAGGCATGGAGGAGCCTAACAGAAACTGTGTTTTTTTGTTTTTTGTTTTTTTTTTTAAAAAATAATCATGAAAAGTGATTTTCCCAGTAGCTGTGAAAGCCTGGAAAAGTTTTGCCTGACCTCTCCCCAACCCTTTGCTGGCCAATCACAGAGTAAGTTTTTTGAGTAGAAACATGAGTCACACTTGGAAAAGAGTTCCCCGCTGCACAGTACACAGACTCCACACAAATGCAGAAAATCTGTTATCCTGAGGGCAAGCCACTTGTGCACTATATCAAATAGGACACTAACTTTTGTAAATTCGCTGCAAACCTTCTAACACTGAAGCCAAACCTATTCTCACTGGGAAGTACAAGTTTGCAGGGCTGAGCCTGCCGCTCTCACTTCATCTTTGTGCAGGGCCTGACATGGGAGGTAAATGCACAAAGGGCAGAAAGCATGGCGATCTCTTTCTTCACACACTGCCACAGACAGGGCTGAAGACACAATCCTGTTCTATACCGGACCTACGACAGGCAGATATCCTCAGGATCACACAGACAAGAAACTGCTGGGTACGGAAAGGGGCTTTGGGAGCTCTTTTTAACCCTAGCCTGGAAATCTTCCAGAAGAGATCACTGGGGACATGAAGAGATGCCAGGGTTCCCAAGGGGAAAGGAGATCGAGTGGGCGGCCAGCAGGTGAGTATCCGGGTCACAGTGTCCTGGCACCAAAGACCCTGTCGCCTCAGTCCGCCCTGAGGTCGTACAAAGGGGATTGCGCAAAGCGTAGCTGCAAACCGAGACACCCCCTCACCCTCCCGGACCTGGCATTAAATTGTCGCCTCGGTCAGCCCCTCGCTGCGCCAGCGCCGCGTCCTCCCTGCTCCTCACCGAGTGCGCACAGGATCCTCCATACTTCAGCGTCTACACCGCCCGCCCGGGAACGCCACTGTAGAGAGACCAGAAGACGGGCGTGGGGCTGAGCCGAGGAGACTCGGGAGTGGGAGGACCTTCCGGAGCCTGAGCGTTCTCACTGGTTCGCCACCCGAGTCCTGGACCGGTTTCAAGCCTTTTGCGGATTTAGGCTCAGGCAGCTGCTAGGAGGTTCGGAAGGTGGGCGGGGAGATTGCACAGCACTCTGTTGTGCACCATGGTTGATCTTAAATCCTCATAAACCTGCCTCAACCTTCCAAGTGGTCACAGGTCTCTCACCCTGTTCAGCTTAGGTGGGGTGAAAATGAAGCAAGTTTCATTTTCAACTTTAACGAATCACTAGAAAGGAGGGATAAGGAGAGCAGCTGTGCCTAACAACAGTAGGAAACCACTTATCTTTCTGTGAGCCTGGGTTTCCCTATCTATAAAATGAGGAGAACTTTGCCCTAATCCTTTGATGCGGCTATGACAGACTGAATAATAAAGAAAAGCAATATTGCTCATAGTGGGAAAACTGGCGTTTAAGGCGTGACGGCAGCATTTGATGGGAGCAACCTTCTGTTACTCGAATTCCGACCAGAGCATGCACCCTGGCTACCCGAGTGAAACAGCCTTTGCTACTCATCCTCCCACGAAATTAACAGCGAAAAGCAGTCAAGCATGGTGGCACGCCCCTTACCTAAATCCCGGCACTTGGGGGGCAGAGGCAGGTGGACTTCTGTGATTTCGAAGTCAGCCTGGTCTACTTAGCAAGTTCCAGAACAGCCAGAGCTACAGAATAGAGACATCGAGAGAGGAACACAACCAAAATCTAAACCTAACCTTTCACCGCTCTGATCCACAAACGTTGAGAAAGCCTAAACTAAACAAAAAATCTCTAGAAATAAACATTGCAGAAAGAAAATTTGATGTGGGAGATTTTTACAATGCACCAATCATTTCCTGGTGTATTCATTCTCTCTCTGTAGTAGGAGGCCGCTTGTTCATTCCCAGCTGCCCAGACTTGAAATAACCACACAAAAACTGTATTAATTAAATCATTCTTTGGCCTATTAGCTCTAGATTCTTATTGGCTAGCTCTTACATCTTAATGTAACCCATTTTTATTAATCTGCGTATCGCCACGTGGTTGCGGCTTACCAGTAAGGTTCCAGTGCATCTGGAATCAGTGCTACATGATTACAGGATGTCTCTCTGACTCTGCCTACTCTCTCGCCAATTTGTTGGGAGGCTGTTCATTCATTTCCCGGCTTTCCAGACTCCAGGAATAACTACACAGAAACTATACTACTTAAATCACTGCTTGGCCAGTCGCTTAAGAGTATTGCTAGCTAACTCTTATATCTTTGGTTAACCCATTTCTATTAATCTGTGTATTGCTATGTGACTGTGGCGTATTGGCAAGGTTCTGGCGCTTCTGTCTATATAGTGACTCTCTGAATCTGCCTTCTCTCTCTCTCTCTCTCTCTCTCTCTCTCTCTCTCTATATATATATATATATATATATATATATATATATATATATATATATCTCCCAGCCTGGCTATATTCTGTTAAGCCATTGGCTGAAAGCAGCTTCTTTATTAACCAATAAAAGCAATACATATACAGAAGGACGTCTTTTTCTCTCTCTTTCTTCCTCTCTCTCTCTCTCTCTCTCTCTCCGCTCTCTCTCCTGTTCCCTCTTTCCTGTCTATCTGTCTGCTGTCAAAAATACCATACTAGTGAATTTATGGAAATATTTCTTGTTGTGGTTTAAGATGACACAGTCTATCATGGCATGGAAATGATAAACAATGTGAAATATCTCCATGGTAGCCAGACTATGTGCCTGTAAATCTTCACCTTAATAGTACGAGAACAGAGAAAGATAGCCAAGAACTGAGGCATGGTTGTAATTCTGAAAGTGTGATTTTCATAGACCCACTTAACTCTAGGTAAGCCATACCTGTCAAAGGTTTTTCCTGCCCTGCAAACAGTGTCATAAGCTAGAGACCACCAGAATAATTCAGTTTTTTATTTGTGACTCCTTTTGTATAAGAAATTGTTATGCAACCCCGAGAATATACACACGTATATGAAGTGGGTGTTCAAATGATACATTTATTGATAATAAATCAAAGAAATCTACTGAAAAACAAATATATTTGGTGAATATATCTTTTATCATTTAATACCATGAAAGTAAATATGTATATTAGTAGAATGAGCATATTTATTTTTACATAAAACGTAAAATCTTAGCTGAATATTCAATAGTGTAGCACACAGAGAATGTTTTTAAGAGTTAATTGATACTTTGGTTTTATAATTGTCAAATATGGACAACATCACATAAATAAAGGCAGAAATACACTTACGGCCATTTAATAAGTTGTTAAAATATTTTTCTTTATTCCTACCCAATAATCACTGAATGATTTTTTTAAATAAAATACAAGTAAGTAACTCAAGCAATTTTTTTTATTGCTTTTTAGAGATAAGGTTTCTCTTTGTAGCTTTAGAGCCTGTCCTAACACTCACTCTGTACACCAGGCTGGCCTCAAACTCACAGGAATCCTCCTGCTTCTGCCTCCCAAGTGCTGGGATTAAAAGCATGCAACACACAACTGGGCAATTCAAGTAATTTTTAAAGCTACGCTATACTATACAATACAAAGGTAAATTATTTTGGTATTTATATATTGATGAATGATACTTGGGAAGTAGAAAAGTCTGTTTTCTACAATTAAATCAGTATTTCTAAAAGAGCAGAAAACTCTTGGAATTTAGTAAAAGTATTTCAATTTGCAACAGTCAGCAAGTCTTATGTGTGAGCTAAGGTGCTTCAAAGAGTTGTTATGTTAATTGCATGGCATGGCATGACATCACATTCAATACACATGTTGCATGATCAGAACAAAGTGGAGGTACAGTTAAATCACATGATACAAACATGGGTGAGTGATGCCAGTGATATGAAAATCAATGCACATATAAATCTGAATTTTTAATCACTGTGTTCACAACCTTTACATGTTACCAGGTGAATCTCAGTTATTGCAATCCAGTAAGGAATCAGAAACCACAGACTAAAAATCTGTGTCCAACCACAAGACTTTGTGGGGATAATTTCATATCCAAATTAAAACACACCATCCCATCTCCCCTGGTCTTATGGCAATCTGATAACGCAGCTAGTTCTATTTCAAAAGTCTCTAATCTCAAAGAAACTGCAGAAGGAAAAATAGAGCCCAAAAGAATTCAAAAGCATTTACAGACCTCAATAGAATCGTCATACATTTGAAAGCTTAAACTTAATGCCAAAAGATTTCCACGAACATAGAAATGTGCATGGTGTTTTACCTGCTTACAACAAATCACCAATGAAAAACACCAATAAGGACACTACCACTTGTTTATTTCAGAAAAGTGAGACTTTCTCAGGAACTTCGACAGGTCCTTCTCAAAGGACCGCTTAAGGAAGAGGTGTCAACAGTTCTAGACATTTTACTGTTCCTGAAAAGTTTCCATGACAGACAAGAAGGTGCAAGGTTGTCATGACCTGGTTATTCTAGGTCTCAGTGTTTCTGCATATAGTCAGGGAGAGCTACAAACACCAACCTCCTGCCTCAGTGTTCTAAACGATAACATTTTTCACAAACAAGTTTTTTTAAAAAATATACAATGCAAAAATTAAAGAATAAGCACGCAAAGAAACAGTTTTAAGCAATCGTATATGGTTACATTTTAAATAATGTTATTACAAAAATCATAAGTATTAAATTTATACACACCATAAATGTTATAAGATAATGTATTCTTTGGGAAAACATCAATATGCTATAAATGAAGCCTACAGTGTCTTTAGGCAAACAATATACTATAAACAAAGTCTACCGTGTTGATAAGAGTTACAGTAAATTAATGTGTCCAATGGCTTTATATTCACCTAAAAGTCTCTGATAGAAGAAAATCTAGTCCTTAAAAACTCTACTCTCAGTAAGTATTCTTCATCTGAAGAATATTTATTTTTATACCAAATCTTTTGTTTCATAGTATTTATTGGTGCTATGACTATGGTATGCAATAAAGCTACATTCCACAGACTAGAATAGTCTTGAAGTTATACCATGTAGTTTAAGTGTATGGTAGGCTACACTATGGTTAGGAAATTGTCTAACAATTTATACCAGCAATTATTTCTGCTGTTAAAAGTTTGTGTCTACACTTAGAAAACCTTCACCTCAATGTTTTCCTGCAAAAGAAATAGAAATTCATCACCTAGGGACATTCTCATTTCTCTTGATGGTGGGACTGGGAATTACACTGGGAGCTCAGTGCTAAACGAGTGAGCTACTTATATATATCTTTTCCAATTTTTATTGAGATTGGTCTCACTAAGTTGTCTGGACAGGCCCTGAACTTACTATTTCCTGCCTTAAAACCACAGTCCCCAAGAGGACAGGCCTGCAATGTCAGGTGCTGCTGCAATTTTCTTCAAACACAAAGCACTGGTAAACACCATACATTCACAAATTACATAACTTTTCATTCATGCTATAACACTTCGAACATGATTTGCTTCAGTATTTCAATACATATAAATTTGTAGAATCTTCTTCCAATCGGAGTTATCGCATGATCTTTAGTGTGGTTAAAATATAAGCTTTACTTTCCAAACTGCAGCAATCCAATGTCTGCTTCTACAGAACTGCCTTCATGGTACACTAGTTTATGCATTTGAGTGGGTGTTGAAGAAATGAATATCATATTCCATTCAAATCACGGGCTTTAACACCAGATATTTTCATGTCTTCAAATGGAATTGAAGATCATAGCACATCTCTTAGAGTCACAGAATTTTCTCCAGTGAGTTCTACCAAGCTTTCCATAGCAAGCAAGCAAACAAACAAAAATTCTAAAGCCTTCACCATTTGTGTTATATTCATTAGCTCTTTTCCCAGTACTTCCACTATTTGAAGAGAACTAGAAATTCTGAACATTCTTGCATGTTTGTTGGCATTCATAAGGGTTCTCCCCCGCCCCCGCTCAGGTATGTGTTTTTCCATGTCTTCGAAGGGAACGGTAACATGTAAAGGCTTTACCACAGTCTTGGCATTCATAGGGTCTCTCTCCAGTATGAGATCTTTCATGAATTTGGAGTAAATACGGATAAATGAAGGACTTACCACAGTGCTTACATTCATAGCGTCTTCCTCCGGCATGAGCCATTTTATGCCTCTGAAGAGAACTCTGACTTATCAAAGCTTTGCCACACTGTTTACATTCATAGGGTTTTTCTCCTGTATGAACTTTTTCATGCATTTGAAGAGAGCTGTGACTCCGGAAGGCTTTGTCACACTGCTTACATTCGTAAGGCTTCTCACCAGTGTGAGTTCTTTCATGCATTTGAAGGAAACAGGGGTAAAGAAAGGCTTTACTACAGACATTACATTTATAGAGCTTCTCTCCAGTATGAGACCTCTCGTGCATTTGAAGGTAGCACGGATAAATGAAGGACTTCCCACACTGCTTACATTCATAGGGTTTCTCGCCAGCGTGAATTCTTTCATGCCTTCGAAGGGAACTTTGACTTCTGAAGGCCTTCCCACACTGCTTACATTCGTAGGGCTTTTCTCCAGTGTGTGTTCTTTCATGTAACTGGAGAGCACTTGAACAGCTGAGCACTTTCCCACAGAGCTTACACTCATAGAAACCACTATGAGTTTTCTCATGTATTCGAAGGTACCCAGCACTTTTGAAGGTCTTGCCACATGCTTCACATTCATAGGGTTTTTCACCGGTATGGGTTCGTTCATGTGCCCGAAGGAGACTGTGACATCTGAAGGCCTTACCACACTGAGTACAGTCATAATGCTTTTCTCTACCATGAGCTCTTTCGTGTAACTGAAGGGAACTGAGGCCTTTGAATGACTTGCCGCACTGTACACATTCATAGGGTTTTTCTCCACTATGGATTCTCTCATGTCTTTGAAGAAAAGACGGACAAATAAAGGCTTTACTGCATATCACACATTTATAGGGTTTTTCCGCGGTATGAGCCTTCTCGTGCTTTTCAAGTAAATACTGGTAAATGAAGGACTTGCCGCATTGCTTACATCCATAGGGTTTTCCTTCAGCATGAGTCTTCTCGTGTACCTGAAGATTACTGAAGCGTCTAAAGGTTTTGCCACACTCTTTACAGCCATACGATCTTTCTCCACTATGGGCTCTTTCGTGCGCTCGAAGGGAATTGGAAGAACTGAGGGTTTTGCCACACTGTTTACATCCGTAGAAACCACTATGAGTTTTCTCATGTATTCGAAGATTACTGAGACTTTTGAAGGCTTTACTACACTGTTGGCAAGCGTAAGGTTTCTCGCCAGTGTGGGTCCTTTCGTGCACTCGAAGTAAACTATGGTATCTGAAGGCCTTGCCACACAGTTTACACTCATGGGGTTTTTCCCCAGTATGAACGATTTCGTGGACCCGAAGACGACTGAGACCTCTGAAGGCCTTCCCACACTGCTTACACACGTAGGGCTTTTCTCCCGTGTGTGTTCTTTCATGCAGCTGAAGAGAACCGGAGCAACTCAGAGTTTTCCCGCACCGTTTACACTCGTAGGGTTTTTCTTCAGTGTGCGTCCTCTCATGGACGCGAAGATAACTGAAGCCCCTGAAGGCCTTCCCACACTGCGTACACACGTAGGGCTTTTCTCCCGTGTGTGTTCTCTTATGTAACTGCAGGGCACTGGAACAACTGAGAGTCTTGCCGCACTGTCTACACTCATAGGGGTTTTCCTCGGTGTGGCTTCCTTCGTGGATACGGAGGTAACTGAGACTCCTGAAGGCTTTGTCACACTGCTTACATTCATAGGGTTTCTCCCCAGTGTGCGTTCTGACGTGGACTTGAAGCAAACACGGATAAATGAAGGACTTCCCACACTGGTTACATTCGTAAGGTTTTCCTCCCACATGAGAAACCTTATGTCTTTGAAAGGAGCCTTGATCTTTAAAGTCTTTGCCACACTGCTTGCACACATAGGGTTTTTCCTCACAGTGAGTCCTTTCGTGTCTTTGAAGGAAAGAGGAACACAGAAAGGCTTTACTGCAGATCTCACATTTATAGGGTTTCTCTCCACTATGAGATCGCTCGTGGAGCTGAAGAGAACTCTGACCTCTGAAGGATTTGCCGCACTGCTTGCATTGATAGGGCCTTTCCCCCGTATGAGTCCTTTCATGTCTTCGAAGAAAAGAGGGGCACAGAAAGGCTTTACTACAAATGTTACATTTATATGGTTTCTCCCCACTGTGAGACCTCGCATGTAATCGAAGGGAGCTATGACCTCTGAAAGTCTTACCGCATTGCTTACACGCGTAGGGTTTTCCCCCAGTATGGGTTCTTTCATGCCTTTGCAGGAAAGATGAGCAACGAAAGGCCTTACTGCATATGCTACATTTGTAGGGCTTCTCTCCAGTATGAGATCTTTCGTGGGTTTGAAGTAAGTAGGGGTAAATGAAGGACTTACCACACTGCTTACATTCATAGGGCTTCTTCCCAGCGTGAGCTATTTTATGTCTTTGAAGGGAACTGTGACTTCGCAGAGCTTTCCCACATTGTTTACATTCATAGGGTTTTTCTCCAGTATGAGTTCTTTCATGTACTCGGAGATTACTGAGACCTCTAAAGGGCTTAGCACATTGCTTACATTTATACGGTTTCTCTCCCGTGTGAGTTCTCTTGTGTCTTTGCAGGAAAGAGGAACAAAGGAACGCTTTACCGCAGATCTTACATTTATAAGGTCTCTCTCCAGTATGATACCTTTCGTGCATCTTGAGTAAATAGGGATAAATGAATGACTTACCACATTGTGTACATTCATAGGGTTTTTCTCCAGCATGAATTATTTTACACCTTTGAAGGGAGCTGTGACCTTGGAACACTTTACCACACTGTCTACACTCATATGCTTCTCCCCCGGTGTGGATTATTTCATGTCTTTGAAGGGAATTTTGACAATTGGAAGCTTTGCCATATGGCATACAACCAGAATGCTTTTCTCCATTAGGACTTCCGCAGGGAGACGGCAGGTAGTTGAAAGGACTCAGACTGGCAGCACATGGTTTAGATTCAGAAGGGTTTTCTTTGGTGTGAGTCCCACTACGAACACAAAATGAACTGGGACCAATAAAGGCTGTGTCATATTGACTATGCTCACGGAGCTGTTCTCCACTGTGAATCTGCGGATACACTCCACATGAACTTGGAAAACCAAAGGATTCGGTATATACTTCACATTCATAGGTTCCTCTCCGATTGGGGGCTCCCATGTATATGTGAATGGTTGCGAGAGAACTGGAACTATATTGCTTCTTTCCATACTCAAGCTCATGTGTGTATCCAGGGTGGGATGTGATGTTCCTATTAAAGGATCAAGGAGACATGAAAACTTTCCCATACAAAATACATGCACACAGTTTCACTCGAACTTGAAATTTCTGAACTTCTACTGATATTTGATACCTTGGGGGTTTCTCCTTACTCCCCCAGACCATAGTTAGTATTTGACTTCTGTAAACACTGGCAGGCACATTACTAGTGATTGCTTCACTGATGACTATTTAGGTTTTGGATTTCCACTATTCCCTAAATCAGGGAAAGTGTATGTCTTCTGCAGTATCTTACTGTTCTCAAACTAAACGGATTAGGAATTCTGCAGTATGGCTCTTCAAACTATTAGAACAAAAAAGGTCATACATGCACTTTTCTCAATACTGTTTATAAGCGAACTGCTTTTCAAATCTAAATAGCTTTCTTACATGGCATTACATATTTCTGTGAAATTTTTCTAATGATGAGTAATTTAAATTTGTGCTAGCCTTGCTACTTGCTCACAAATTTTCATAACACATTAAGATTGTCTCAAAATTTATTTTCTCCCACTAATACATGTAATTTACCTTAGATTTCTCCCAGGATGCTTATAATGCTCTTCACTGGTCTGGTATTCTGATTTGATTCCTAAAATACAGACCCAGAAAAATTTTCACAAATTATTACAAACCTCAAAGAAACTGTAAGTTTCTAGAGTTAATGCGCATTGTACCCATGTTTGATTTATTCACATAATTCTTCCCTTTCCACATTCCAAAGTACAAAAAGAATAAACACTTGTCTAACTGACAAAGTGAAGGAACATTAGCATTCTTACCCACAGCAGCAAGGTTACTACAGGTTTCCAGCATCACATTGACGTATAGGTTCTTCTGAAAAGGATCCAGCAAAATCCACTCTTCCTGGGTGAAGTTCACAGCCACATCCTCAAAGGTCACTGAGTCCTAAAACATCCCATATGCGTGCATAAGAAAATGGGTGACAGCACTGTGGATAGCTGATAAGACGTTCACACATTCTGCAGTCTCCAAACGCTTATGCAATGACAGCGGAGTTCTAATGCTACAACTGACGTTCATGCAGGAAATGGTGCAGTAGGACCATTTCTCTCATGACCACATTCAGGGATTGGAGCATGCTCCTGGGCTGCTTCAATTTCTCTTTCTAGAATGGAATGGAGTATAATGTACAAAATATAATACAGTCAAGAGGTTGCTTTTCCTTGGAACTTCTTAGGCATAACTAGGAGCTTTATTGATGACAGTGTACTGAAGGTTCTAGGAGATATTACAAGCAAAAATGGTAGTCACTAAGTAGTCACACAGTCTAAATGATTCAGGGAAACATTTGGCATTTCTGAACCCCTGTTAGCTTTCTGAACATTCAGTGAACAGCAATAATGGAAGAATCTATCGAGACAACACGCTCAGGCTAACAAGTTGTCAAAACTTGCTAAGTGGGGAATTGCACCTGTGCTGTGACTACATCAAGGGAAACATTAAAATCCTGAAAGCACTTTCTACTCAGTCAAATTTAATAAAGCAGCAAATGTGAAATAACCAATAGTGATTCCAAAAGAACAATTTTTAATATTGACACATATTACTTGATAATTTCACATCTAAATACAGAATGTATTGATCATATTCACCCCCAAATACTTCTTCCACTCTCTCTGTACCCCTCTTCCCAACATATGCCTCTCCTAACTTCAAGTTCCCTTCACTTTTTGTTTCACTTTTAAAGATTTCTTTATTTTACGTATATGGATATTTTGTCTACGTGTATGCACCACAAAGCTGAGAAGAGGGCATCACAGCCCCTGAAACTAGCGTTATGGACAGCTACCATGTGAGTGCTGGGAACCAGACCTCCATCCTCTGTAAGAGCAAAGCTGCTCTCTGGTGCACACCTTTAATCCCAGCACTCGGAAGGCAGAGGCAGGTGGATCTCTGTGAGTTCGAGGCCAGCCTGGTCTACAACAGCTAGTTCCAGGACAGCCTCCAAGGCTAAAGAGAAGCCGTGTCTCAAAAAAACAAAAAAAGCAAATATGTTCTTAACAGCTGAGTCAATTTCTCTAGTCTTTATTTTTCTTTTTGTTTTTATTACCCACAAAGTGAAATTAGTGCTTTCTGAATGTATACCAACAACATTCTAGCAGCCATACACCCAAAGAATACTTAATCCTCTGCCTTAGCAACTATCAATTGCCAGTGGTTCCTCAGAGAGAAGCCAAGCTCATTAGTCAGTGATTTCTATGATTTTATGCAAATAACCATAGATGCTGTGAGTTCATGAGCCTATGCCATACCTAGAAGATGGCATTTCACAGCTTTCCTACACATACTCTGGCTCCTAACCAGGTTCTTCATAACCCTTCTTTGATCATGTTCCCGGAGTATTACACCAATAGACAGCAACTTTCTAATAGCCATTTAGTAAATGTCAAAGAAAATCTAACAATTAGATGGCACATGTTTTTACAAGAACTTAAAGTAGCTAGGTATATTACATACTGTAGTCCAGGTACTGGGGAACCTGGGATGTAGGATCACTTGATCTAAGAGCTCAAAACCTGCCTGCAAAGATCCCTATATGAGGAGGGAAGAAGAAGATAGTGTCACTAAAATGCCATCTCGTCTAAATTATACCTGTATAAAAATCACAGCTCAAACAGCGCCCTTAGGAGTCACCAAAATCTACATTTTCAAACCTTCTAGTAACACAAGTGTCTAGCACTTGTCAAAGTCTTCTGAACAATAGTATGATGACTTGTCTAACGAAGATGAGGACATCTGAAATACATTAAAGACACAAAGGGGCAAAAGTAAAAGCAAATCCCCAGAATTTATCAGGACACCATGTAGAAACTAATCTTTAGTAACCCAACATATAAATGAAGAAAAACAACTTACACTGTAAATTTTACTACTCAACAAGGTGTCACTGTCTCCACATTTGCCTATATACAGACTCTACAAGCTAAGACCAAGCCACTTCTACCTTGACTGTCTTTGAGACAGGGTCTCTCTATACTGTCCTAGAACTCTCTGATGTAGGCCAGGTTTGCAATTACCTGGCACGAGTGAGAAGGAAACACAGAACATGCAAAAAACCTGCTTAGGAGTTTATTAAAGGGGGCATGTACAGGCCTGGAGAAGTCAGTGTGCAGAGAGAGGGAGGAAGATGGCATGTCCAGCTTTTAAAAGCTGCCTAGCACATGCGCACAGGGGGTTGATCTGGCTATGTCATACGCAGATGATGGGGTTCACATATGCGCACAAGGGCTTAGCTGAGTCATATGTAGATGACACCAAGTGGGGGAGGGGAGGACTGCTTTAATATTGAGGGGGCGCTTAGGCACTTCTGCCTGAGAGCTTGTCTACACCTGCAGGACCCCTAGAATCCAGAAGTACCAGCCTTCTGTGGCTGAAATCATTACAAGGTTGGCCATGAACTCACAGAGTTCCTGTCTCTGCCTTCCTTTTGACTCTTATCAAAAGAACTCCACTTCTTTCCATCCATGCACTCCCTCCCTGGGAACTCACCTGCTGCTTCCATAAAGTATTTCAATAAAATTTTGTCTCGTTTTGCCTTGGTAAGTTATTTTTATTGTGTGTGTTATCACTCCATATATGTACATAGTAGTATGAGGGCTTATCTTAGAACTGTCTCGGTTACTGTTCTATTGCTGTGAAGAGAGTCTATGACCAAGGTAACTCCTATAAAAGAAAGTATTTAATTGGGGCTTGCTTACAGTTTGAGAGTTGTCAGCCCATTATCATCATGTCAGGATGCATGGTGAGAGGCAGAAAGAACAGGAGCTGAAATCTTTACTTTCTAACCTTCAGGCTTCAGGCAGGGAGGGATTAGCCCTGGTGTGGCCTTTCAAAACCTCAAAGCTCAACCCCAGTGACACACTTCTCCAACAAGGCCGCACCTTCTAATCACTCTATCCTTTCTCAAATTGTTCCACTCGCTAGTGCCTAAACATTCAAATCTATTAGCCTATGGGGGCCATTCTCATTACAACTATCAGAGAAACTCTGTTCTTGCCTCCCTTGCCTGATCCCTTCAACTGATGGTACCTCGCTGGGACGCCTCTCCAACAAGACCTAAAGGACTTAGCAGCATCATTCCATACCACTATCTCCCACCAAGGGACAGACAAACTAAAACATTTTATTTGGCTTCCTACAAGAAATCCTGACTTATAGAGACACTGACCAAAGAAACTCTATGGTGGGCACTTAGGGTGAAGGAAAAAGGAAGACAGCCTGCTATAACCCGTGACCCCATGACTAAAAGGCTAGTGTTTGTGTTTTTCTGAAAGCACCTCACTCTCCCCTGTGGTATTCTCCCCAATCACTCTATTCCCTTACCCACTTATGTTCTCCTTCACATCCTCACTCAAGAGCTTCACATAGGGGACTCAGGAAGCCACTAAAAGTCTTCTCATCCTCAGAAAATATTCTCCTCCTTCATGAGGTAGTCAATGAGGACTCTGGCACCATCCACACATGTGACTCATTTCTCATGTCTCATCTGTCTTGGCGCATAGCAATTTCTTCCAGATTAAAATCTTCCATCCTGGAGGGAGGTGCCTTAAGTCTCAGTGGTTAAAAAGAAGTTCCATAAGCTTACCAGATTCACAACTGCGGGTGTACTCCTGAGAATTAAGCAGTTGCAGATGAGACATGGCGGCCTAATGTTTTACCTTTCAAGAAGAATTTACATACCACCTTCTCTGAGATCAAAAGAGGAGGCAGACAGAAACTAAGTGCTGGAAGAAAGCATAGGTTATTGTATAGTAATTTCTCCCAAGTTGAAAGAGTCCATGCTGGAGGGAGATTCAAGACTCGGGAAGTGCTAACTTTCATAATGCTGGAAGGTGCTATGTAGACCACAATGGGAGAAGATACATCAACAGTATCTCTGCAGCCAGTCCTGCATGCTACAGTATCTACCATCCAGGCAAGATGTGCTCACTGGTACAATAGTGGCATAAAGGTTGTGCGGTAACCAACTGCTTTTGAGTTGGATCTTTGACTCGTCCTACAGAAATTCACATTCAAATATAAACCTGGTCAAACGCTCTTGGCTCAGAGGGTTACAAGTCCTATGAAGGAAGCTATTGGTGTTGTTTTGCTAAAAACATGTTGTAAGATTGTCTTTAAATATGCATGCCTATGCCTGTAAATTAATTCTTCCTCCAACTTTGGTCAGAGAAGCTTCTCTCGGTAGCAGTCAGCAGTTTAAGCAAAAATTCACAACTTTTCAAAGTGTCTAAGCCTAAACAGGACATCTATATTAACTTCACCCAAACTCAGGGTGGTGCAGAACAATTGTCTATATTCTTTCAATTATGTTTTAAATAAATGCTGATTGGCCAGTAGCCAGGCAGGAAGTATAGGTGGGACAACCAGACAAGAAATAGAGGCAGGTCAATGAGAATAGGAGAATTCTGGGAAAGAGGAAGCCCATTCCTCCCCAGTCCTGTACCAACCACAGACGAAGGAAGATGTGATTGCCCCACTGAAAAAGGTACTGAGCCATGTGGCTAAAATAGATAAGAATAATGGGTTAACATAAGTTATAAGAGTTAATAAGAAGCCTGAACTAATGGGTCAATCCATTTATCATTAATATAGACAGATCTCTGTGTGATTTCTTTGGGGCTAAATGGCTTTGGGACCTGGTGGGAGGACAGAAACCAGGCAGAACAGAAACCCAGACAACAATCAGGGAACATTACAGAAGTATGGAAACGGAGGAGCTGGAGGGGTGAGTAAGATCACTGATAATTTTGTCTTTGGAACATGATACAACAAATGTACCCATAAATCCACAGCAGCTATGAGTACCTGCACAAGAGCAACTTAGCATCCCAGCAGACAACACTGACTGGATTCAGTAGGTTAATGACCAAAAAAAAAAAAAAAATCGTGTTCAGGTCAAACTTGAAAACCAACAAATGTCACTAATTCTGATCCTGAAGTATGACAAGTGTGTCTCCACTTTGAGGATGGACAGGACCCTGAGGTTGTAGAACCTCCCATGTTCACCATGTCTATAACAAGCCTAGGATAATCCTAGGATAAACCTGGATGCGGCAAAGATTATGACTACACTGTCAATCCATGAACTGCACTGTTCTCCCTGACAAACTTTCCTGACTTAACATTGTAGTCCAGTTTTCCTTAGCACCACAAATGGCGACCCTCGCCAACAGACATCATCTCCCACCTTATACCTACAGGACATCTTTTCATTCTCTTTTCATCTTAATCAAGCTGTCTGATTCTCCTACGAGGTAGAGCCTCACATCCAAATTCTAACAACACTTAAACCGTTAAACTGATCATCCCAGTGGTATTTGTAATTGCTATTCCTAACCAACATAAAGCATCTCTCACCAACACAAAGCAATCAGATTGCTCATCACCTCATCCCCTGGTAGTAGGATTGCCCTGTGGAAGGCGAAAAGAGAGTGAAGTTAAGCTCCACTTAGACCAGTGGTTCTCAGCCTTCCTAACACTGCAACCCTTTAATACAGTTCCTCCTGTTGTTATGACCCCAAACCATAGAACTACTTTCCTAACTGTAATTTCATTACTATTATGAACTACAATGTAAATATTTTTGGATATTGCAACCCCTTTGTCAAATAGGTTGTAACCCACAGGTTGAAAGCCACTGCCTTAAACAGTAAAAGCAGGGACTAATGTTAGATCATGAGCTAGTCACCTAGCACAGGTGACCTTTCCCCTAAATGGACAAATAAGCAAGGGAGGATAAATATAGTTTAGGGATTCTTAACTGGTTGCTCTCCCAGTGCATTCAAAACTGATCAGTTACAATTAGAATTAACTAGGTTTGCATCCAATTTTTACTGTAAAGTCCATAAAAGACCACTGGGCACAGCAAAACATACATACACACACACACACACACACACACACACACACACACACACATACATCCCTCCCACTCTTAAGAGTTCTTTCTCATTTTTGTCTGAATGAATCTGCATTCACTTTTGTTCACTTCTTGTCCATGTTTTCTTTTTCTCCTTAGTATAAGACAAGAAGTGAGAAGTTTCAGGCTTTGCATGGTTTTAGTGACCATTAGTTGTCTGGCATCATAGCCCCCTGAGTTAAGTGGAACCCTCAAAATATCTGCATCAGAATTATAAACAGGAAATCAACACAAAAAACCAATAACTGAAAAACTCAGTTCTTTTAAAAACATCAATTAATAAGCCTATTCCAGGGTAGCCAGTGCTACGTAAAGAGATCCTGTCTCAAAGCAGTGACAAAAAGAGCAGGAAAAACTAACTAGCCTATAGCCAAACTAGGAAAAAAGATGCAAAATTATCAATTAAAGAGTAGCTGCTGGGGCTGGAGAAGGGAACAGTAGTTAACAGCACTCACAACTCCTGTAGCAGACCTAGGTTGGGTTTCCATCATCCTCATGGAAGCTCACAATTGCCAGTCATCCCAGTTCCAAGGAATTGGATGGCCAATTCTAAAGTCCACGGGTCTCTGCACACACACACACACACACACACACACACACACACACACAAACACACATACACATGCATACACACATACACACACACACAAGCATATACACGTTACACATTCTGGTCATCACTACCATGAAAATGTAAAAGACCATGAAGAAACACGATGAATGATTTCCTAACAAAAGCGTTAGTAACTTAAGATGAAATAAATACATTCTTTGAAATGAACCTTCAATCATAAAAACACACAAACAGAGAAAAGTGGTATGACTAGGCCTATGTGTATTAAAAACAGGTAATCGGTAATGCATGACTATTTTTAAAACATGATAAACAAGACCCAAATGATCTCATCCTTAAATTCCTCCAAACACAGGAGAACTGGAAATGTACAATTCTGTACAATGTCTTATAGAAAAGCTATCATCTCCTATTTAAACTGTGAGCTAATCATTACCACAACATAAACACACACACACACACACACACAAGAGAAAAAGAAAAAGAAAAATTACAGAAAGCATACACACAAAAAAACTTTAATAAAGACTAGTAATTTAAGCCCCAGGTCCTTCGACTCCCTGCCCCTCCACCTCCTCCTGAATCTGATGTTTGATATGAATACAGGGTCATGGTCCAGTGCCCACTGACTCCAGGCCTAGACCTGGAAACTGAGGAAGACATGCAGGGAAGACATCAGGTAGTGTGACTACAGACCAGCATCCCATATCCATCTTCACCTTTGCACATTGCTGTCTACTTTGAGTGTTGTCTCTTTGTACTGGAGAAAGATGAGGGGGGGGTTATCTTTTAATACAGAAATACACTTTACAATTCTATGCATGCCCTGTGGTTGGTCCCCCTAGTTGTCAAAAACAAGGGAGTTTCCATTGCAAAATTGGGTTTGTGAAACAGAGGCTTCCTGAAAATACATGGATGGATATACAGAAAGCCCCCTTCGGAGAACTACACGAAAGGAAATGTAATCCGATAGCCATAAAATCAGATATCTGGAAATTCCATAAAGATTCTGGCCTTTAAAAAACAGGAAAAAACCTGGAGAATCAAGACTATCCCATAGGAAGGGAATCTAGGGACAGACTTAATCATTTCCAGACAGAATTAGGTCAGGATTACTGGTTATGCTTAGACACCCAGCTCCCGTACTACAGAGGGATAGGAACTAACCAGACTGTCAGCCCATCAACTGACAAAACTTTTTGTGACTAGGAACAGCCCAAATTAACGGAAGGACTTATAAGAGGTTGAAGCTTATCTAATACTCAAAAGCTTTAAGCTAGTCACTCCCCTCCCCTTATTCTGATGTCAGCTATTCTGTCTAATGGGCTAATTCATCGAGTTAACAGCAATGTTATCAAGGCCCTGAGACTTTGTGGTGAGCATACACTAATGGTTTGACTAAATGTCTCTTCTGGTACTTTCCAAACTAAGTAGACAGGCTGATCAGGATCTACAGGTAGTAAAAGTTTTAATTTCTGAATTAAAACATTTAGATTCCCTTGCCAATAAGGTCCTACAAAATTGAAGAGATTTAGATTTACTTTTGATGAGATAAAGGAAACTATTGTATGGCTTTGGGAGAAACCTGTTGCTTTTTGCTAATGGATCAAGAATAATTAAGAAAGCGAAAAAATCTCAAAACAAGAAAAAAATGATACCATGTACATAACTGCTCTCTTGGTTTCCCCTGGCTAAGTACTCTATCAGCACTGGTGGGGCCTTTTATTCTTTTTTTAATTGGATTAACATTAGGAACCTACATCTTAAGCTTCACGGCCAGGTATGTGTCAGCTCAGTAGCTGGGACCAACTACAACTCTTTAGAGCAGGATGGTCCCACAATTTGACTCACTCACTAAGAACAGCAGGAATGTAAAGACCCTCAGATCTTAGCACAACTGGTTCCATGATGGAAGCACCATTTAGGCCATACAGCTCAGCACACAGACAGCACCACCTGCCAAAATGAAAACAAAGATCTAATCCATCAAAGTTCACAGTTCTGGCAAAGTCTGTACATGTACTAACCTTGCATTTTGGCTTCTGTAGTTTTGCTTCTGGCTAACTGCTTTGGTTAACTGAAGTAGGTCAACCCAGAATATGGTTTTTATGTTTAGAAGCTCACTCTGGGAAAGGCTCAGTGGTGCACTGAGAAACTGGCACCCATGTAGTCACCAGATGGCTGATAAATATTTTCTATTTGCTTAAACTCATGTCTAAGCAGTCTTCTCTGATGGATATCCCCCAACACTATGAGCTTGGAGAGACTAATGGGTTAAGAGCCTTTGATGCTCTTGAAAATAATCTGGATTCATCCTCATGGAAGCCAGAAACTAACTCTAGTTCCAGGGGATCTAATGTACATGTGACACGTGCGCACGCGCACACACACACACACACACACACACACACACACACACACACACTCACGCACGGACTCCTAGCCTTAGGAAGCCTTGGGTTTCCTTCAAAGCACTACATAAAACCAGACAGGGTAGACACATACCTTTAATCTTTCACTCTTGAGGTGAGTGAGAGGAAAAAGATCAGAAGTTCAAGGCTACCCTCAGTTACACAGTGAGTTTGAGGCTAGACTTGAGTTATGAGTGTCTTTCTCAAAAAGAAAGAAAGAAAGAAAGAAAGAAAGAAAGAAAGAAAGAAAGAAAGAAAGAAAGAAAAACTGTCGACACACTGAAACAGCACACTCACTTGTTACTATCATCTTCTTTTAAAACTACAATAAAAACAGACTACTTTTGGTGGGCGTGGTCAGAGCACACTTTTAATAGGGAGGCAGAGACAGGATCCTGGTCTACAAAGAAAGCTCCAGAGATCCAGGACTCCATAGAAGCCCTATCTCAAAAACCAAAACAAACATTCTATCTTGAAATAAACAGATGAAGAGAAAAATCTGAAATAAATGTGCAAAAATACGGTCAACTGTATTTGACAAAGGAAATTCAAAGGAATCCCTTTATTAACAGTGGGCCACCTTAACACCCATATGTAAAAATATTTAATGACAGACTTTATAACTCCACAAAACTAACTCTAAGTGCACCCTAAACCTAAATATGAAATGTAAAGTACAGAACCTCTTAAAGATAACTCAGAGAAGCTAGACACCCTAACACATAGACACCTCCTGAGGGCCCGCACCAAAGTGACGTCACCAACAAGGATGGCGAGCGGGGCGGAGCCTCCCAACACGGTGACCAGCGCTCTACGCAGACGCAGCCCGAGGGGCGGAGCTGACCAGAGCCTGGGGTCTCAGGACACAGCTTCCAACCCATGCGCGAGGAGGACCCACCACACGGGCTCCTGTGCTCAGCCGGCCGCTCCTCCCAGTCTGGGGACAGTGGCCCTCGCTCACCATGACCGGCTTCTGAGTTCGCTGGTCCTCTCCTCACAGCTCCTGGCAGCGGCGCTCACAGCGCAGCCCACGCAGCGCCTCACTAACCAAAAAGCGGAACCGCTGCATGGCGGCAAAGAACCCGGCTCTAGCTGCCCAGCAGCGCCCCTTATTGGACAGCCTGTGTGGCTGCTCTGATTGGCTAATGAGACCTGAGTGACAGGAGAGAGCCACAGACATAGGCTAACACAACCCCAAAAGCTCAGACTTGCAGAAGCTCTGGGAAGATTTGCTTTTTTAGAATGTACTCCTGCCCTCCAGAGCAGCCCTGTTGTCTTCTTATAGTCCGTAGGCACAGGGTTGTTCACGTGCACTGTCCACTACACACAATGGCCAATGCAGGGATCGCCTTCCTCACAGCGGGAATTTTTATACGTAGTTAATTTCATTTTTAGTTACATGTATTTAATTAAAATAAAAATGTGGGAGAAGCACACGTGTGACACAGGGTGTGAGTCAGAGGGCAGTTGGCTAGACTTGACTGGCCCCTTCTACCATATGGTTCCCCGGGGATTAAACTCAGTTTATAGGGCTTAGCAGCAAGTGCTTTACTAGCGGAGCCATTTCGCTTTCCCAAAAATTGATATTTTTTTAAAAAAAGAAAACATTAAGCGTACTTATTAATGTCTTAAAAGGGGCGTAGGGGTGGACAGAAACTGCCATATTTAGAAATGAATGTCTAACTGAGTCCTGTAATTCCAGTACTTGGGAGGTTAAGGCAGGAACATAAGAAGTTCAAGGTCTAGCAAGGCTACAAACTGGGTTCAAAGACAATCTAGGCAATTTAGTGATACCCTGTCTCAAAACAGAAACACACAGAAAAATGCAATGCTTCTGTAGCATGGTTAAGACCATATGTTGCATCTCCGGTACCCACTGTTGTAATTTAGAGAAAGCAGAGTAAGAGAGAAAGATGCCATGCGACAAAGCTCAGGTGGAGGGGGTTTTTACTGGGAGAAAATTAATGGGAAGGGGGGAAGGGGAGTGGGGAAACCTACTTCTGGGGACAGAAGAGAGGAGAGGGAGAGAGACAGAGAGAGAGGGAAAGATGAGAGGTTGGCAGGGCCCTTAAAAGTGAACATAATGAATGTGCACAGGTAGTGCCCTTAGTGGCTACAGCTGAGGATGTATACCCCATGTTCAGGCCAGTACAGATGCCTGAATACCAAGACCCACCTCAAAACTGTAGGCAAACTAACTACAGAAATAGGTAGATTAAGGACTGGGAAGAGTGGATGCTGCTCTTACAGAGTACCCTAATTCTCCCAAACACACACATCAGATAGCTCACAACCATCTGTAACTTCAACTCCAGGGAAGCCGATGCCCCAAAGCTAGACTTGCTTTTGCAGAAGAAGTAAAATGCAATCAAACAGACACAGCTCTAACAGTACTGTGCCAATCACTGAGAAATAAGAATTTGGTTTCCAGCCTAAAATTCACAACCCCAGAGAACCTAGACAACAAAGAGAACCCTAAGAGAGATATACATGGATCTAACCTACATGGGAAGTAGAAAGAGACAAGATCTCCTGAGTATTTTTGGAACATGGGGATCATGGGAGAGGATAGAGGGGTTGCGGCAGGAAAGGAGGGAAGCGAAGAAAAATATATAACTCAATAAAAACAATATGATTTTTTTGTTTGTTTCCTGTGACTGGAGAGATTAGACAGCTCAGCAATTAAAAGAGCATTTTCTGACCTTAAAGAGGACTCAGGTTAGGTTCCCATCATCTGTGTGGCCACAGGCACTGCCTCCATATGGTTTACATATACACATGTCGGTACTGGCACATACAAATTAAAAAAATATAATCTTTTTAAAAACTTTTAAAATTATTTAATACTTTGAATTGGGCTCCTATCTGGGCTACGTTGAAGAGAGAAACATGTGAATTAAAAGTTCAACAAAAAGGGCAACTATACAAAAAAAACTCCTGTAAGATTAGTTTGCCTTTATATAGCAAATCAAAAGAGTCAAGCTGGTTAGGGAAATAACACAGTCGGTAGAATGCTCACCTGGCGTGTGTGAGGCACTCACTGTGTTTATCCCCAGTACCACATAAAGTCAGGCTTTATGGTACATTCTGTAATGTAGGGAGCCACCTGGAGGCACAGGTAGTCCTGCAGTTTGGAGGTATACAAGTCCATACCTGGCTTAGCCACGTGGGACTGAGAACCCTTGCCTGCACATGCGCAAACCAGCAAATGGTATTAACCAATCAGGACAGCATTCAAGCCTCTCCACCATTTAAAAGCAGCTGCCTCTGGGCTCTGCTTCCTCTCTGGCTTCCTCTCTCTAGGTTCTCTAGGTTCTCTCTGGCTTCCTCTCTCTAGGTTCTCTAGGTTCTCCCTGGCTTCCTGCTCTCTCTCCTGCTCTCTCTAATCTCTCTTATCCCTGTGCTCTCAGCTCTCTCTCTCTCTGAGTCTTTTCTCCCCAATTTTCCTCAATCGAGTGACTCCGAATAAAGACGTGATAGGGAAGGAATCTCGTTTTCGTGGCCGTTCATTCCTGCTGGTCAGGAAGCGCGCCGCACTGTAACCTAAGCCTTGAGAGTTAGAGGCTTTTATCCTCAGCTACATGGCAACATGCAGTCAGTCTAGAATACAGCCTCCATTTCAATCAATCAACTAATCAATCAATTAATATGCTGAAATGAAGTTACTGACATTCTTTTCCCAACAAATTCCGTAAGATGACCAGAAGCTATGAAACCATGTCAGAAGCTCTTTACCCCAAGGGACGGCTGTTGTTTGAATTTTTGAGACAATGGTTCCCTACATACCCAGGCTGACATCACCCTCATAACCCTCCTGCCTCTGCTTTCTGAGCGCTGGGGTTGCAGGACCGCATATCACCCTTGGCCTTTTATGGGAAACTTAAAACTAAACTGGATCCTCAACAGCTCAAATTCATATTTACAAATGTGCTGACTCACTGAAAATGTAACTGCAGCCAAGTACTCAGGGCTTGCAGAGATCTCAAGGTCATCTGTGGACATGTACAAAATTCTTTTATAAAGACTGTCCTGAAGATTGTGTGCCAGAGTTGGAGGGGGAAAGGGACACTGCTGTTTTATCTCAACTGCCAACGGACTAATGTCAGGTCAGAGAAGCTGGGCTTGGTGGCAAGGAACTGTCACCTCGGAACTTCAAAGGCTGAGGCAGGTGAATTGTGGGTTCCAGATGGTCTGAACTATGGAGACCCTGGCTAAAAAAGAAAACGAAAAAGAAACAAGAACAACAAAACACTCTAAAGTAGAAAGGGCTAGAGCTATGGAAATACTCTAAACTAAAACTGTTCAAACCTCTCATAGGACCCGACACTTCAACTAGCACATAAATTAAATTTTAAGTAGCAGAAAGAAGTTAAAAATTTTTTAAATTAACTCTACAGGAATGTGAAGGCATGACGGAATGTTTTGGAATCAGGACAGTGATGGCTGCGTGATAGAGTATCAACAGTGAACCCAACAGTTTAAAATTCTATGCATGAATTTTACCCCAAAAAGCAAAAAAAGCTACAATGAATCTCAGTGATGTTACAATTGATCCCATTGAAACTGTGTCCTTGTGAACACCTACTCAGCAGGTAAAGGCACCTCTCCCCCCCCCCCCAAGCTTTTACTTGAGTTTGAGTCTCAGGTTCCCATATGTTTGAAGGAGAAAGTCAATTCCTGCTAGCTGTCCTTTCTCTCTCTCTCTCTCTCTCTCTCTCTCTCTCTCTCTCTCTCTCTCTCTCTCTCTTTCTCTCTCTCAGTGGTGAGAGATCAGACTGCACCTTCCTTTCACTTTCACCCCACCCCCATCCCTGCAGAACAGAAGACCTCTGCAGCTGTGTAGCCATCACGGCATCCTAATAAATATTTGATATCCCTTAAAACGGGATCTCATGAATTTGCCCACAAGGTGTGGCCTTGATGGAGGAGGTGCACTTGAAGGTTTCAAAAGCCTAAACCGATCCAGTGTCTCTCTCTTCCTGCCACCTGTGGATCTGAATGTAAAATGCTCAACTACTTCTCTGGCACCATGTCATCCTGTGTGCTGCCATGCTCCCCCACCAGAAAGATGGACTAAACCTCTGAAAACTGTAAACAAGCCCCAATTGAATATACTCTTTTATAAAAGTTGCTGTGGAAATGGCAATAGAACAGTGACCAAGACAGTGAGTTTGAAGCCAGGCTGAATTACAACAGATTTTATCTCAAAAACAAACAAACAAATAATAAAACTAAGCCTGTTGGCAGAGACTTTCCCTACCTCAGCTACATGTAATAGAGTATCTCCAAGAAAAGCTGAGGGTATAGGAGAGAAAGTGGGTAATTATAGATAATTCATAAAAGATTAGGAGCTAGGAAGGTGGCTCAATGGGAAAAGCACACGCTGTGAAAAGCATCCTCGAGACCCATGCGAATGTCAGAAGGGTATGAGGATCACCATATAATGCCTGCACTAAGCAGGTGTAGACAAGAATCCCATAAGAATGCCAACAGCTGTAAAAATAACTACCCAATAAGGATCATCAAGAAAATCAAATATGATCCATAAGTACAAATGCTAATACATATACACTTATATATATGTATATATTTATATTTATAAATATATAGAGCTTGCTTTGGAGTTGGACACTGGCTCTGTCCCTCTCTAAATCCAAGCATGTTGTTAAAATAAAAATTCAGAGTTTCTGTCTCATGTCAGGAGCCATGATATGGGACAGAAAGAAAAAAGAATTTAGAAAAAATTTTACTTTTCTTCATACCTATTTTTGTCTCTATCATAGCTTTCATTGAATATATATGTCTGTATATGTCTATATAAATAATGTTTAAGTTTTTCAGAATGAACAATGAATTTTCCTGCAGTAATCTTTGCAGTTTCCAGAAAGAAGACGGGGCTCCACAACAATTCCACCTGGTTGATATGATGTCATGATGCCTATAGCACTACTACAAGACCTGTTTTGGGTATCAGCTGCTCAAGATAGTTCCAATTTGGTTAGCTGAAATGGCGTACTTTTTTTTTTTTAACAAAATTCTGGCCAGACCTTCACCAAATACTCAGAGACTATTTTC